GTAATCAATTCGTTAACTAATTAGGCGATAATTTAAGGGAATTATTAATTTCCTCGTGCCGCATTTCAAATTCTGATATGCGGTTTAGGTGAGTACAACAATGACGTTTTACCGCAAATTAATTTAAACTTTATGCTCGCCATTCCCGAGCGAATTTCTCCCGGTTTGTTGGCTAAATTCGATTGTCTTCGGAATTTATTATCTACTAACAATCCGTCTTCTCTACAACGACCGCGAATACATCGAGAACAAATGATGGAAACGCACGAATTGCTTTTAATAAATTTCCAAATAATGCACCTTTACTGTGGTAATAACATTCGCAATTTCGCGTTTCGGCCGAAACTGCAGTTACATTCGATAATATTTCCTTGTTATGAAATTCAGAAAGTGCCGCCGAAACTACAAGGAAATTAAAGCGGATGTTTCGGATTAAATTGCCGGCATGTACTGCCGTTTCTCGCATTTCAAAATGCAATTTTCGTCCGAAACTAGGGCCAGGTTCCCGTTAATTTTGAGTAAAAACTACCGGGCATTGAGGATGATTCGAAGCTAAGTGGAGCGGCCCGGTTTGAAATTGTTGCAGGTCAGGACCGGTATTATTTCAATATTTCATCCGGCGAACGGGAAAATATAAATTTATCGCTTCGGAAACAATGCGAAAGGAAAGTATTCGTTAATTCAGCGAGTATCTCTGTTTAATTTAGCCCGTCTCTCATTTTACGCTCGCGCGTTTATTGATAAATTGTTATTTGCTTTCGAAATGACGCCGTTTGTCACTGATTAAAGGGGACGAGCAAAGAGAATTTCCACCGGTTTCCCGGCGAGTTTTTTTATTGCGACTTGTTTTTTCGCAATTCGAAATTAGGTAATAAAATTTATGAATATTCCATCCAGTTTTCCATTTACCCGTCGAACAGGTATAATTCGATTAAGCTGTCGGTTATCCCAAAAACGACGATTAACAGCCCTGCCAACTGTCAATTTATTATTACCCGGTGGTATTCGAGATTTTTTATTGGTTTTTTGTTGGTATTAGTCATTCATATACTCTGCTGATTATACTGTCAATATAATTAATTTTTTTTTATTCAGCAGATATTTTTTAAAAGAGCCAGTTAAAGGCAACTGTCAATTTATTAATTATTTAGAGATTTTAGGGTTTTTCATCATTTTTTGTCCAATGCAATTATTCTTCTCTGATAACTGTTATTAAAATTAATTTCTCCTTAAAGTTAAAGTCCTGCCAACTATCAATAAATTTATTATAATTTAGTACCTAATATTAGACATTTTCAAACACTTGCTGGTACTTCAATAATTATTTTAACATTATATTAAGGCGAGAAAAAAATCCGTTATTTATCTGGGAAGTTGTGCTCGTGTAAGTTTCGGCGTGCCGTCGAAACTAAATAAATATATCAACGGGAAAGTTGCACTTTGCCGGGAAATTCCCCGGAAAAAGTGGACCGATCCCCTAAATCAGGCATTAATCGGACGAAAGGGCGAATTCCTAGGGTCTTATCTGTCCGAAACGGTCGATGAATTGAAACATAAAGACTTATCCGGGAATTCCCCGAAGAAATATGTGGCCGGTGTTGTTATTTTATTTTTCTATTTTTCTTTTCTTCCCCGGCCGGTTGTCGTCCTCCAATCGGCCGCTTTTCTGCTTCTCCATTCGCTCTGTAATGGTATTATCGAACGCAGCTTAAAGTCCTTCGGAAAATTCGAATTTTCCGTGTATATTTTTCTTCATCGACTTTCGTTTTCCGTGCTTCTCGACGCGTTAAGATTAATGGACATCGAACAGGTGAAAGGAAAAATTGTTACAAGGCTACCAGTTCAAGGGCCATTATTATTAACCCTTTATATTTACGTACCCCATTTGCATGTATACAGGGTAAATCGATAGCTCGTTTAAATCGCGTTATTTTTTGTTTAAAAATCTCACAATATCGAGTCGAATTCCACTTAAATAAATTCCCCGGTTTCTTTTTTTTTTATAAATCTATTCGCTCCATTTAGGGCGGCCCGAATGCGGCAAAGCTTGACGCATAGCCACTGTAAATCAGACGGCAGAAAGGACGCGAAAAAAAGAAGTTTTCGAAATAAATTGAAAAAGCCCATGCAAAAGCCGAAAAAGGGGAAATTTTCGCGACAACAACGAAATTTCCCCGTAGGTTAGAACGGATGTTTTGACAATGGAGGTGCGTTCATAAAAGATGTATAAGAAAGAAACGATTTTTTTTTCTACATTCCCAAATACCAATAAATAATAAACACAAAAATATTTACCCATACTAAGTTGGGACTTGATTTGATACAAGGTGATAATATAAATACTTATATCAACCACCCTGTATTCCAGCATATACAATAATTTTTGATTTTCAAGTAAGAGCAATTAACAATTTCGCTTATAATCGAATCACCCTTCTGCCAGCTACAACTCGATTACTTTCATTAGGTAGATAAAAAAATCGTACATATAAAAATCGGGCAATCCGCTCGTGCAAATTAGACCGTTTGAATTAATAATTTCCATTTAATTAAATAGGTATCGCGTTCGCGCCTAATTGGCTTATTTCTGTTTAAAGGTGGAAAAGGGGGCGTGCGTCGAAAAACCGGGCGCTCCGGTCGCGATAAAATGGTTTTTGATTAACAAAAGCAAAAGCTCGTCAGACACAAAACGGAGACGAAATTACCTAATTGGCTGCGCGACAAAAACAGGTGCAAATGAAAATTGAGGTATCGCTAATGAATCGATGCCAAGGCTCTTCGTTTGCGAATTCAATTACGCATCCTACTCAACTAATCGAAAAATTATTTTGTGTTATACTTTGGAACGTTTCCATTGAATTGTTACACCTCTACTAACGACATTATCAGGACCAATTGAAACATCAGTTGAGGACGATTTTAGAATCATTTAGAACTGTCCAGAATCATTTAGAACCATTCAGAACCATTCTAGAACTGACTAGGACTATTTGGAACAGTTCAAGGCGATCTTAAAACCATTTGGAACAGTCCACAATCATTTAGACTTTTAGAGCTATTCTAGAACTGAAGAGGACCATTTGAAACAGTTCATGTTGACGATCTTATAGAATCATTTAGAACTGTCCAAATTCATTTAGGACCATTCTAGAACTGCTAGCACCACTTGAAATCTAGGACAATCTTAGAACCATTTAGATCTCTTTTTCAGAACGGATTCCGGACTATTTGGAATAGTCCAGGATGAACTAAAAGAACTCGTAAATATTTAGAACTTCAGAACTATACTTAGAACTTTGTTTAAACAAATCGAGAAGACTATTTAGAATTTTTCATGTGAAAAATCGAGTAGTTTAGTAAAATATTGGGCGAAGCGATATAAAACTAAAATTGTTATTTCTGTTATCCGATTGTTTGGCAAATGAAATATAAAATAATAAAAGAGATTTATCGGGCGAAAATGGCATATGTGCGTCGGCCTCCAGCGCTTATACTCGCTCCTGTCTTGTCTCTAAATTTATCGAAAAAATCCTTTTTCGACATTGAAGTATAGTCAACCGTAATAAGAACAAATGTCCGACCGCAAATGGTATTTATTGAAAATAAAATCTTATATAGCTTTTTTATATTCTCGTTATGTCGCATTCTTTATGGGCCGCTCAAAAAAATATTTACCCGAATAATGTTAAATCTATGGGTACATAATCTTTTATTATTAACGAGTTTATTAAACCCCTTATTTTAAAGATAATTTTGTCCAGGACCATTCTAAAACTGGCTAGGACCATTTGAAACAATTCAGGTAAATCTTAGAGCAATTTAGAACCATCCAGGATCGTTTAGAACCATTCTGAACTGGCTAGAACCATTTGGAAAAAATTAGAACAGTTTAGAACCATTTAGAACTTCCCAGTATCATTTAGAACCATTCTAGAACTGAATATTCGATACTCATCCTGTACGTTTCTATTTGGAAAAGCTTGATCAATCTGGATTATTCAAATGCGATGTTGTCATTAAATTCGAAATATATTAATTAAAATTTCGCGCATATTAAATTCCTATTATAAAGTTCTGTTGATTTCGATTTTGGTGAAACTTGCTATATTTTGCGAGCTCTGTTAAGTTAATTTTGATTAATAAAACTGCTAGTTTATTAACGAAAACCTTAGTTGGAAAAAATACATTAATTTCATTACTGATAATAGAGTTAATAATATTCCACAGCAATTGCTCTAAAGCGATAAAAAACTTCCACGATTTCGAATTTTTTTCCCTCGAATTTGGTAGCTTGTATAAAGTTTATTTTCGGCTTGAAAAAGACACTTAAGGAAATTTATTGCGAAACTGCGGGGAGTCGCTGAATATATATGTGACGTAAAAAACACAACTGAAAACAAACTTCTTAAAATTTCGCATTTATTAATACAAAAGTCGAAACTCGAAAGGTTAAAATACAATTCTAAAGTGGTTTTTAGTGGATGAGGTAGGCGCTTAAACGTTAAATTACCCGATAAAAAATTATTTCCAAATCTATACAAGTAGAAATTCACGATGTGGCAACACCGCAACAGTCTCACTAATTCCACAATTAATTAAAATCGCTATTGAATGAATAAACTGAAAGTACCAACAATGCTCATTTCTACCCATTTACCCGAGACCTCGAATGCTAAAAATGAAAACAATTCGGGGTAGGTACATTTGCATGACAAAAAAAACTTCAGAACTTCTTAATGACTCCAGGGCTTCAGAAGAACCATCATTTATTCACCGCGGTTTATACTTAATAGTTAAAATTAATGGGTCACTTAAACATCATTGCGAGATTTATACTCCTGTTTGCAGGAACTAAATTAACGAAAAAAAAAAACGAGCTATATCTAACGAAGCGTTACCATTTTAACGATTCGTTAATAGTTAAACATCCGTCGAAACATTACCAGCAACGGGCTATAAAAAAAAAACTTCCGGAGACCCGTTTCGACGGCAATCCGGAATTAATTTTCAACTTCCTTGAACTGTTTGTGTCCCTTCGCTATGGCGGCGAGTGAATCTGGAAAACAGAAACGATAAAGGCGCCTCCTGAGGGCGAACTTCAATTATAAAGGGATTAGAAGACGGGGATTCGGACCGGGCGATTTTTAACTCTAGCGCAAAAACTTTGCCCGATAGAGGTAATCCCCCGTTCTTCGAATCGGCGGCGCGCTCGCTCTCGATAGCGCGGAAAATGCAAGTTCGGTTTGAGTTACCGGGAAATTTATTATGTAGGACTCGATTTGCGTTAAGGGGATTTGATAGAAATTAGTACTTTCGTTAAAATCCCACTTCTGATTTCCCAATACCAATGCCAGAAAGAGAGTGTACTTTACAATTATAATATTACACGAGAGGGAGAGAAATGGAATTGTAATTGAGAATGTTATTGCTGATAGTTTAAAAATGTTCAGAACTGTTGGAGAATTATTTAGAACTGTTCAAAATCATGTAGAATTGCGCATAATCATTTTGAACTATTCTAGAACTGATTGGAACCTCCACTTAAAACAGTGCAGAACAGTTTAGAACGCTAAATAAACGATAAATAAGATACAGAACCATTTAGAACTAACTCTCAGGACTAACTACAACTTTTTTAGAACTTTTAGAAGACTATTTAGAATTTGTCAACTGAAAAATGGACTAATTTACTAAAATAATCATGTCAAGAACCATTTGGAACAATTCAGAACGATCTTAGAACAGTTTAGAACTGTTCACAGTTGTAAATTCACAAACGCTGAATAAATTCGTTTAGAACGGATTCAGGACTATTTGGAACAGTCCAGGATAAACTAAAGAAGTCCAAAACCATTTAGAAAGTTTTAAGAACTATTTAAATCCTTCATAAAAGGAAACTTCAGAGTTATTCTTCTGGAAAATCGACTAACTTAGCGAAATCATTGCAATTAAGATCTTGTGATACAAACACAAATTAGATAATAATAACACACCTGTAATTCGTTTGGGTATCTTGTGGATCTTCTGCAGCTCGTCGCAGGACATATCGAATTGCGTGTTAATGAAGCTCCTGAGCACGATCACTTTTTTAACGATGCCCGGCACGTACTCGGACCTGAGGTGTTCGGACGACATGAATGCTTCCAATTGCTGCAGGAACTCGGCCTGCTTCTCCAATTTTTTCGCCCTGCCCAGTACATGCAGCTCCTGAATGTCGCTGACCTGCGTAATTCACAACAGAAAAATCTCGAATTTTTTTTCCACCGTTAAATTTAAGGATACTCACGGCGACGCCGACGAGGAGATTCATCAGGACGACGGTGGCCAGGACCACAAAAAGTAAAAATATAAATCTAGACGTAACGGGCAGGATCCTCGGCGAATCGGCGCCCTCCTCGCCGAATAAATCCCCGTACTCGAATTCCCCTATCATCATCGCCACCGTTTTTGCCAGCGTCCTCCAAGGGTTGCTAAATACAGGTGAATTATGGAATTGGATGGAAAAACTCATCGTGAAGCCGATTAATAGGCAGGCGTAAGCCAGAAGGACCTGCGGAATAAAATACTCCTAATTATCGATCCAGCCCCGAATGGGAGTAAACTACATACAGGATGACTCCAAGTAACCATTCCAGATTCGAGCGGTATTGTTAAAATTAATGTTGCATGCTGCGATAAAGTGTATCGGAATAAAAAACTAGAGGGAAATCTACTTGGTTTTTTTAACGCCACTTGAATACAAACAGACGCGAAATCGCGCTCGTTTTTCCCCCTTTTTTTTTCGTCGTTTTTCCAAAACGTGAATAATGCAAAAATGCGGCGGAGAGAAAAATCCCTTTCTCCGTCCGTTTTTACCGTATATGAAAACGGGAAACGCAGAGCGGATTTTTCTCGTAGACGAACGCTAGTTTTATAGGTAGACGCACTAAAAACTCGGTTTACGTTCAACGTGAAATACGTTATTTAAATGGAAATCTCCGGATTAATACCTTATTTTGATTTTAATGCGCTCTTTTATTCGCTTTTCATAAAAATCTATAGCGCCCGCAACCACTTTCATATTTCTCTTTAACCTATATTTAATATCAAACTTGCATCTTTACTACCCTCTATCGAAATGGGCCATCTTAATTGTGCATATACAATATCACTTTCATAAAAATAATTCAAACAACTTATTCACCACTTAATTAGCACTTAATCAGGGTTTATTTAGAATTTAATCGGTACTTAATCGGTGCTTTTTTATGAAAACTTAATCCGACTCAATCACAACTTAATCATGACTTAATCAGGGCTTAATCAAGACTTGTTTAGGATATACTCAAGACCTGTGCATAGGACCAAATCAGGGCTTTATCACAACTTAATCAGGATTATATCAGGGCTCAATCAGGACTTATTTGGGACATACTTATAGGACTCTTGTAATACTTGATCAGGACCAAACCAGTGCTTTATCACCACTTAATCAGGACTTAAGTATTTAGTACATACATGTGTACTTCCTATATTTGATCAGAAACAAGCCAGCGCTTTACCATAACTTAATTAGGATTTTTTCAGGACTCTAACAAGACAATCAGGATTCTATATGAGGAGTTTATGCTAGTGTAGGGTAAGAAACGTTTGCACTATTGCAAGCTGAATCGATTCAAGACAGCTTTGAATAGTCCAAATCCAAAGATACCGGCATTCTATATGTGATATGGGAAAATTGATATAAAACGCAACAATAAGGAACCCGCTTCCAGCGAGGATAATTACCGAGTAAGCCGAATTCGCGTGAATGGGAAAACGGGGCGTAATCGAGATTAAGGGGTGGTCCGCCGGGACGCGGGGAAATGTTATTCCGGTCGGATTGTTTTCCCCGCGACCGGCCATCGGCTCACGGGCTCGAATCCCATCGGACTTGCACGCGACAATGTGCAAAAGGAAAACGGTTCGGATTCGATAGTTTCGCAGGGAGATTTCCGCGTCTCCGGTCGATTTAATTGCCGCGTTAGATCTGTGCAGGACTGGCCGGTCCTCGAGGATGTTTGAAGGAGTCCGTTCGGGTTAGCTGTCTTTCAATTAGCCGCGTTCCGAAGTCCCTTCGAATAAATTTTTAACGCTGCGGAATTGAACTAGTTCAATTACAATATTCGTTCGGTAATTGATGTTTCGACGGGAATTAATAAATACAATTCTCCGGGTCCGGATTAGTCCCGCATAAATTCGACGTTCCGTTGAATAATTTAAAAGAAAACTCCCAATTACTTAAACGGGCGGTTCGGAACCGATTGCCGGCTTAAAGATTTCTCCCTCCGGTTGGTTTTTTTTTTTTTATTTTTATTCGTTACTTTGCATTCGACGTCTGGGGCGAAATGCAAAGCGACCGCCCGTAATGTTTTTAATGGCGCATCCCGGAATTAATTCGAATGAATTTTATATCCGGGACGAGAGCGGCGCGGCGCCGTTAAAATTAAGTCCATAGATAAAAACTTGTTGATTTAGGATGTAATTTCATGAGGCGGCATTTTAATTGCTCCCGGCTCCGAAGCGGCTTGTATAAATACCGATGAAAACTTGCGGTGGCAATTGCGGAATTTCCCATCGCGAAATCGACCTAATCACGGAGTTAGCTCTATTTTCGATACTCGAAATTAAAGCGATCTCCAGCTGTACATCGGAGAGCGCTCTCCGGTTGATCCGTTCGAGAATCGCAGGAAATTCCACATTAATTACCTTAACGACATTTTGTAAGACGGCGGAGAACATGAGAGCGTAGTAGCCGAGACTGGGCAATCGACCAATTAGCAACATCAGCTCGAACCAGGCCAGGAGAATGTCGATGCTCGTTACATGCACCACCCAATCGGGAAATTCTACAAAAAGAAACGTAAAGAATGAATCAAAGTGCATTAGATTTTCGAGCGAAATATGTGTAACTCATCCAGCGGTTTCTGGAGCATCGAATCGAGATAACGCAAATAGAGCAGAATATCCCGGATGATTTAATAACAACAGAAAAATTACTTACCTGCGTCGCTTGCATTTTCGGAATAGCCGTCCACTGTTATGGCCACGGTCAATGCGAGGCATGTGCAAATTAAATTCATCCACATCTCGTACCTCTGGAAATATTTCCGTCGATCGAGGACGCACTGTGGAAGAGAAAAACGTTTGCGCTACTTATCGGCCGGAACGTTAGGCTAATCTAATTCGGAATTTAATCCGCTTAATGCGAGTGAATTAGGCGTTTTTGGGATGCCTTCCGGAGGTTTGAGTTACGGCCGTAATATCATCGATGTATCGGATTTATGGCGGAGCGCATTAATGGATGCACCGGCCCATATAAATGTCCCGTTCGGTCCAGTCGACGATGATTCACCGTTATTCGGAATGTATATATGCGTTATTTGCATAACATATAAGCGCGATAATAAAATATTTAATTATCGATCGGATCTGTTGCAGAGCTTTTTCGATTAATAAATTTTTCACGTTCGGTTTCCCGGTTTAAAATTATTAATCGACGAATTATTTTAACGATATGTTTCGAGTGTATAAACAGCATACATTTTTTTGTGTACCTACAGGGTGTCATCCTCGTAGATACTTGTTTATGTATATGCAAGGAGTTTTCTTATGCAAAGCAGATTTTTGTGTACCTCTTCAATTCTAACTGCATTCGTAAAAACTCAATTAACCGGCGTAACTCGATTCAGGAAACGTCGAGCAGGTTATTTCACGGTCCGCGATTCCTCGAGTTCCGCGCTCAAAGGATTACTTTCTCATTGTCTCGGCGTAAATAGAGCGCAATTAAAAACTTGCCTGTAAGATGGCGTGCGCCAGCAATCCGCTGGCCGTCAAAATGACGATATATTTCAAAGCGGTCCGCAGGGTTTCCATGTTTTCCGCGTTGTGCATTAGCAAATTGAAGTAAACGCCCGTGCTGGTGGCGAATATAAAATACGCCGTTATCCACAAGTAGAAGAAGTAACAGATCCTCTCCCATTTCAGTATTAAGTAGAGTTCTGGAAAGAAACGTGTGTGTGTGTGTAAACTATATACCTAAGTAAAATGGTCTTTTACCTATAAGCGGATGTTGTAGCACCTCGATTTTTTCCTCGTCAGAAGCAGCCGCTAGCACGCTGGATATTACATCCATTTGTCTACCGTATTTCTTCGGAGCGAGTACACGAAAATCTGCATAAAAAATTGCCCGATAAGCGCCCCGACTATAATTCGTACAAAATAGTAAGGACGCTCGTTTCGCTTTTACGAAACTCACCGATGCCGTAGTTGTATTTGTACTTGTCGGTCTGCTTGATGGCGATTTTCCCGTCGAGTATCTCCCCGAAGAACCCATCGGGCGCGATGATTTGCTGGAAAACCAGGTCGGCCACGGTCTCGCCATCGTCGTTGGTAGAAGACAGGTCGCCGCCGTGGTCGATGAGCGTTCGCAAACAATTCTTGTGGCAAAACTGGGCGGCCAGGTGGAGGGCCGTCCTGCCCTCGTCGTCCGGCCGGTTGATTATCTCCGGAGTGCAGCGCTCGTCGTCGAGTATCAACTCCAGGATCCGGCTGCCTCCTGCATCAGGAAGCTTACCGATCGATGGAAATGCTAGAATTGGTTGTATACTTGCCGTGTTCGGCCAAATGGTGGAGCTCGTTCTTGTAGGAAGGCCTCAACCAGGCGCCGGCTTTCAACAGCATCTCCACCGAGGTTTTCCTTTTGTAGAAAACCGCGTTGTACAACGGCGTGAATCCTGCGGAAATTCGAACGGAAGGTTCTTAAGCTGCGTGGTTGTAAAAGCGGACCGCCTTGTATAGGTATAGATTGTGTTGGAGATCGATCGATGGGATTTTTTCCTCTCATAGCGGAGCATAAACGTTTCCGGCGATAATTTAATTTCGAGCGGAATTCGAACTTTTCTCGAATGGAAAATTCGAATTATTCGAGGTCGAGGAGAGGTCTTTTTCGGAGCGGGCGGCCCGCGGGCGGGCGACTGCAGGTTGAGGTTTATTATAATTATCAAAGGGAACGATAACGAGCGTTGGGGAAAAAATTAGGAACGAATTTCAAGGTATATTCGCTGGCGGAAATTCGACGTTATAATTTTGTTGTTTGATCACAATGATTCTAACACGGGATACCGCGAGATAAATCGCAGGGATTTGGTAATTTAACCGTCGCAGCAAATTAGGGTCCAACCAATATCGGAACTTTCCGAGCGACGTGGAAACTTCGTTTTTTTTTTTCATCCGATCCTTCGGCGTCCCCGAAATCTGCCGTTTGTATGTAAATCTTCGGTATTACATAATTCAGCACGCAATATAGACCTTCGGGTCGACATAAATTCGGCGGAAATAATGCCAAAGAGCGACCAGTTGTTGTATTAAAAATTAAATACCGTCGAAGCCCGCATGTGTGTCGTCCATAAAGGAAAAGCAAAAGCTCGCTGCGTCGCCGAAACGGAATCAAATCAGACGGAGGCCCGTTCGAAATTGGAAAATCTATAATGAAAACGTATCGAACGGAGCTACGAGGTGACATTGAATTGTTTCAATCTCGACGGGGTTAATTTTGACCTGCTTCAAATTCGATTTATCCAGATGTTTACCGTATACTCATGTCTTTCTAATTATATCTTAACTTTACTTAATTTTCTCTGCAATTCAAAATATTCCAAAACCAAATTTAGACATTTCACAATACTCCTGTCACTCCCCGTTACCTTCCCGTCTAATAAACATCCCTTATTGTCGGGAAATACCGCGGGAAAATGAACGCAGCAGGACCGATTTATTAACCGACTCCCAGCAAATAAACAAACCCAAAACTAGGAGAGTTTGTTATTAAGTTTTCGTTTTCATTTCCTCGCGCGATATACGATTGCCCGCGTACATCTCGAGCCGCATACTGGCTTTGTTTTTGTTTGTTTAACAAGTTTTAAGACTTATTCCTCATCGAAAGCGGGCGTATTAAAACCGATGTGGGCGGGGGCGGAGATCGCGATGCCGGAAATTAAAAATGAAGTATCTCGCAAAATCGGCATATTTCGAATACTATCGTTTATTAAGCCACCCCCAGTGTTTTATTAAAGCCCTTTTACTCCTAACAAAAAATATTTGAATAGCAAGATATTAATAAAAAAGGCTCATAATTATGTATTAAATGTTCTATCAGTCGATTACTCTGGATTACACTACACTACGCTACACTACACTATGTTACACTACCCTACGCTACACTACATTATACTCTAATTGCGTATTTAATGATTCCCTTTAGTAGACTCGACCTACATTTTCGCATCTGAATTCGTCCCGAAACAAATAAACCGAATTTAAGTATTTTATGGAGTTGTTTTTGGATGTTTTACGAGTTTATCTACATTTACGATCGTTAGTTTCGTTTCGGGGCGATCTGGGCGTAGCGAAGGGAAAGTCGATTACGCTCAAAGTTCCCTTCTGCATCGCTCTAACGCTGTCGCTCTCGCATAACGAATCCGGCCTGTTTAATTATTGATGCGATGAGAGATCGTTTTTGTCCTGCAATTCGGCTAATGCAATCCTCGATTTCGCTTGTATAGCGAATTTCTATTTTTCTACCGAACCATTATAAAGTTGCCCTGTAAATTCGCTGCTTAGTCCGTAATTTAATTTAAAAATATGTAGCGAGAGCTCGAAGGAACCGGATTGTTGTTTTTTAATTTCGCCCGGCGCATGGAGGAAAAATCGCCGAAAACCGGAAAAAAATTATTGGAATAACGTTAAGATATCCCGGGCGTTTTGTCTCGCGAATGAAATGTTTATTTGAGCGGCATCGAATGTGAAAATTGAAAATTACGTACCGACGGTAAGCGAATTTTCCGGGTACAGTTGATTTTTTTCGCTATGAATTTATAGCGAAAAGCTGTAAATAATGTCTGCATTTTTTTATAAAATGGGTACAGTTCTATAGGAATAGCTTGATACGTGTTATGCGCGGCTTCGGATTAATTACGCAAATCCTCGCGCATCGTATTTCTATTTTACTATATAACGTACAAAAAACGCGAATTTTCATATAATAGAAGCCGAGCGAGCGGCTTTCGGTCCCATTACCCTTGTTATAGGCATTGACATCTGCCCCGTTTTCAATTAAAACGGCAACAATGGCGTCGTAAATTTCCTCTTGCTTTATGCACACGGCCAACAATAGGGCCGTATTTCCGCTGCTGTCAGTCTCGTTGACGTCCCGGCCGGTGCTCAAAAAGTCGCGGACCCCTTGGACGTCGCCGTCGCGGACGGCGTCGTGCAGGCTCTTGTATTTCGGCGGCGGCGGCGGCGGCGCCGGCGCATTGTCACGGCGAGGCTGTCGAAAAACGTCTCAATTAATATTAATTACTTGCATTTTAAGGATGGTGGTCGAGCTCACGCAGCGAGCGAGACTTTGGAGTGGCGATTTTGAGCTTATGGAGCAAGCGGAATGAGCGGGAGATTTAAATGTGGCCTTTTCTTTTTAGAATGTAAGGCTAGTTTGCTATAAATGATGGTAAATTAGTGTGCTAAAGTAAGAGATATAATTAGCAAGTGGGTTAGTTGGGAAAGCTACTGATTAAATGTAAATGTGGCCTTTTCTTTTTAGAATGTAAGGCTAGTTTGCTAAAAATTATGGTAAATTAGTGTGCTAAAGTAAGAGATATAATTAGCAAGTGGGTTAGTTGGGAAAGCTACTGATTAAATGTAAATGTGGCCATTTCTTTTTAGAATGTTATGCCAATTGTCAGCTACAGGATTGGGTAATTGGAGATCTAAAGTAAATCTTTATAAAAGGCTACGGTTTTTGTAAACAAATTAAAATTGAGAATTAACAAACTTGGGAAAGCTGTTGTTTCATTGGAGGATGTAAATGTGGCCTTGTCTTGTCTTTGTAAATTATTAGGCCAATTTGTTATAATCAATTTGTGTATCGAATCATTATAAAAATAAATTAAAAAGTGCAATCATATTTCACGCGTGTCGGATTTATATTGAAAACATACAAATTTTCGAAAAATCCCATTATACCGCGAGCATTAATGCCAAAGTTTTGCTTAAAATTCAACCGATTTTTTTAATAACCTCGTGGATTAAAGGGCGCTGGATAAAAAAAACCAATCTGCTTATACATAGTTAACAATTTTTGTCGAAACCCGCAAATCGGTTTACGTCTCGCGCATTCGAACTCCATTAGCGTCGGGATTTGATTTTTTTTTTATTTTCCGCCACGAAAATCCGCTAAGTAGTCGATTTAAAAATTTCGCCTTGTTATTCCCTTCGAAAGCGAATTGATGTATTTGCACACTATTTCGGTATCGCGGTAATTTATCCGAATTTTACGGGCCCGTGAGCGCACGGAACCGCGAAAAATTCCGAAATCGATTCGTTAATTAACCAATAAATCCGGGAACGATGTAAAAAAATCGCCCTTCGCGTGGCGCAAAAATCACCGCAACGCCGAGAATGCTAGGCGATTCTTCTACGTGACATTCAATGTTAATTTCCCCCTTGAGAGACTCTCCAACGACAATCTTCTCTCTATTGTGTGATTCATCACGTGCACTTACCCTCACTTGTTATGCCTAAAGTTTCTACAATACATTACTAGTTTAGTGCTAATTATACTGCGAAAAATTCACCAGCCCGTCCCTGTTGTGTCGTTATTAATTCCACAACATTACCCACTAAGATACTCGGCATTGGAATACGAAATTTTGGGATTATTATAGAAAAATAATACAAGTCCTGTAAATCACGACAAGCGAAAAGCCCCGTAGGGCTTATTCAATTTTTTTTTTCGCGTTTCGGGTAAGAGTTATTCGGTTAATTAAACGGATTGTTCGGGGCGCGGGAAGAGCTGGAAAAATCGGTATATATACGCGGGGAACGCGATATTTGTAATGGGATTTTCGGACTTTTTTAATCTTCATAAATTATTCCGGTACCTCGCTGACGAAACGACGGCGATATACGGAGCGAATGCGAGTGAGTTTTAATCTATTTTTAATTATCTATACGCTTAATATAAAATATAGCTCATTATTAACTCACGAACGTCATTATAAAAGGCCGCTTATAGTTGCTGTATTACATTTTAAAATTTTTATTCATAAAACAAATTGATTTACCCTTATATATAATAGCGAAATAAACGTAATTTGCGATTCCGTTTTAATTAATTAATAAAAAAAACCTATTTAACTAATGCTCATTTAATCCATCTGTGACATATAGGTCGTTTCTATTTGTATATGCATTTAATAATGGAAATGGAGTTGCGATTCGAAAACCGATTTAGGTAACAAACGGACATGTAAATTCCTTTATTTTTCGAAAAGCATGCGAACCGTAATGTTTTTTAATTAAATCCGACGCGGATTAATATATCTATAGATACGGATTATAGGCGTAAAATTCAACCGCGCGACGCCCGTCTGACGAAAGCCTGATGGGTTTTTAAACGTTAACTGCGTTTTAATTTCCGGATTTTTCTTATTATTTTCCGCACTCACCGCGTAATGTTCCCGTATCCTCACTGTTCGCAGGGTGGCCATTACTCCGCGGAACGCCGAACTGTTACTGTAATCCGCTCCATTATCCGTCGAGCAACAAAATATTTACCGGAAAATGATTATCGTTTAGCCATATTGGGAACCAGCAGGAGCGATAACGTATCAATATTGCGGTGTGTGGCTTATACACGAGAAATATTAACGGTTTTAATTAAGGTGTATTCTTGTCGGAGTTGATTAATTAGCGAGGGTTTTTGATTACGTTTTAAAAGTATATACCAGTATCGCTTTTTTGATACATTCTGTAACGCGATTATTACCTCGATGGTAACGAAGACGCGCCCGGTTGATTTGTATAGGTAACCAATCCAGTGATTTTCATCTCGAATAAAGATGCAGTTTGTGAGTAAATTCGAAAGGATGAGAGAGCTTTTGTTCGGCTACTCCGACACGTACGTCGGCTGGTAATTAGCCGGAACTCGAGCGGGCGACTTTTGTGTATAGGAAAATATTCTTCCTTCCTTTTGATCTATTATTCAGCGGGCGATCTTGCGGAAGGAACGGAAAAATAGAGACGCTTCATCAGCGACTAACAAACGCTCGAATAATTTATAGTTTCCCATCGCAAACAAGGTACTCTTCGATGCGCTCGCCGCATAAATAACTTAGCTGCAACGGCATCGCAGCGAAATCGGACGTTTCTGTTGGCTGCATTGATTTGTCATCTGTCACTATTTGCATGTTGCCAACATTCATCACAGTATCGTTGCTATGAACTCTCCAGAATGATTTATAACTGTCCAGAACTATTTACATTGCTTCAGGATGAATCAGAATTTTGAAGAATCATTTAGAATCCTTCATAATCATTTAGAACTCTCCAGGATAATTATTATAACTCTCCAGAATGATTTAGAACTGGATTTTGCCAGTTTTTTTTTTGAAGTTTAAAACATTCAATTACGGGCTAAGTCAATTTCGAAGAGCATAAAGTAACGAAGCAAAAAAGTAGTATTTTTAAGTTAGAAAAAAATGGTGAATGCGCTTCGGAGCCTCCACCATTTTCTCTCTCAAAGTTCTATTAAAATTCGCCGGGAATCATAAAAACAAAGGTGTCGAATGGACAAAGGAAATTCGCGAATTCGTAATTAAAGCGATCGGTTTCGGCGCGATTCGATTACGCGGCGATCGGTTTATGACAAAAGGTTAAAGAAGCTTGAAAGAGGCGTTGACAATTCAATTTCGATTCGATGCCCGAAACATGTTACACAAAGGGATAAAGGCCCGTGCTGTTGGGGGAAAGGGTTAATAATTTCCCGCCCGAAAAAAAAAACCGGCAAAAAGGGGCAAACTCTAAAGTTGTAAAATTTAAATTCTGTTACCTGCAGGACCGGAGGGAGGTTAAAAGCGCATTTTTCTGGTTTTAAAACATTTATTATAATCACCGCTTTTACTACAAGTGACACTAACAATCAGTGTAAATATTTTAAAGTCGAAACGCGCGGAGTTTTCGCAACCTTTTTACCCAAATCATAATTACCTGCAATTTTTTACGTTGGAGCGCCGTAAAAACCGCGCGTTTTACGCCCAATTATCCCCACCGTGTCATTAACAATTTCTCCCCAAAAAAAAAATCCACGAATTCGTCGCGATTTCGCCCCGCTCCTTTTATCACATTACCTCCCGCGCTTCGCAAAAGTGATATATATCGCCTTGAAGCTCTCGTCGACCCGAAGCCGATATCAATCATAGAGTTTTGACACTCACAGCGGCCCGACTTTATATATTATAGAGCCTTTTCCGAGCTCCGGCGGTCGCCTTTAAATACTCACACGTGGGAGTTTGTTCGGAAAACTTCGGAATAAAAGTCACTCCAACGCGCCATCGATCAGAATAAATTACCGCAAAGTTCCGTTTTCGAATGTAATTTGTTGCTAATTAAGGGGAAGCTTTAAGCTCCCCGTGACCGGAATATTCACTTAGTTAGAAATCCAAAAATTCGTGCATGCTTCGCTACCTCGGCGGGTTATTAGAAATGCAATTACCGAGTAGAAGTTTAGAGGTTAATCCGGTTAGTCTAGTGCATTCGGGCAAGGGAAAGAAAGTACACACACGACCTATTCGGGATATGTACCTTTCTGGCGGACTCCAATTTCCAAGCCACGGTAGATCCTATTTCATCGACAATGGAAAGTATCAACAATTGAAGCCCAGGGGTAATCGCATCTAACAATGTTGCCATTGTAGCGACGACAACGGCGGAAATCTCGGACTCGAAAGGCTAAAGAGCACAAAGAAAACCTAGGATTTACGAAAAAATATATATCCCCCTCGTCACCGGAGAACGAAGATGCTCTCTACATTACCTATAATTTTACACACAAAAGTAGTAGATGAAACATGGTATGCAACTCTGTTATTAAAAAAAAAAAAACAGGAAGTAATTTGGTTAATTGTGAGTTTAAATTTCTAACGATACCGACAAATCATTTCGGGAATCTTGAGCGGCTTAGTTTAACGGCCGCTCGGAAGCTGGTAAGTTCGAGATATGGGGCCGTTTCGCAGTGAGGAACGTTCGCTAATTACCATTTATAACGCGGAATATTTCGAAGCCGGCCGGCTCTCGAATTAGCGACTACATGATTATTCGCTTCGAGTTCCCCCCATAAATACGGAGCTCCCGTTTTACGTTTAAAAGAGGCGTTTTAATCTTCCCTGCCCCGATCGCTCACGGTTTTTAATCGGGCCCCCTTCTTTTACCGTTACAATTAACGTTAAATATTGACAGACGTGGAATCTGTTTCGCTTGAATTTATAGGTTAATTTTACCATTATTTGCGCGCTGTTTAAAATTGTTTTTACTACGTGAATTGGAGCCATAAATGACTGTAAATACACTTAAATAAAATCTGTATTGATTACTATTTAAATTGACTGCTTAATTACCGTACTGCGGGTGTTTTATTACAAAAAATCGAGTGTTTGAGAAAGGTGTTCCGTGTTGTATGCGCATTTGCATAAAATTTGCACGTTCCCTCTACACGTACGAGCATCGTAAAATTTTTAATACGCGAAATTGCGCCGACCTTAATGAATTCTCCCCGAGCTCTTCCCGATGCGAGCGTTCGCGGTCCGTAAAAATTAAAGTGGATTTCCTTCCAGCGACGCCGCGAGTTTTCCTTTTCGAAGAAGAGAAAAAAAAAACCCGGAATTAATACCGCCTTTATGGCCGCCGCCCGGACTTCTCCGCGCATTTTTTTTTCCGGCCGAACACGCCGGGAAATCTGAGTTACGATGTAAGTATTTTCGAGGTCGAGAACGTAATTGTGTTGAAGAAATAAATTCGCCGAATTGATGGTTTACCTCCGAACGATTTTTCTCGCATACGTGCTCCGCATTAATTCAATTACGCCGCGTTGTCGGATGCTCGCCCGGCTATTTGCCGATCGTTTCGATCGCGCGGAAAATAACGATGTTCCCGCGATTGATGTACTTGCAGCACCTGCAAAACTCGCCATCTTTCTTCCGATTTAATCCAATTTGTCGAGCTCTTACTCATCTACAGTCCTTCCAAAATCAATTAAATCTATTACTGATTGACATTGGAAGGACTACAAGTGGAATGTTTCTCATTCTACACATTTTAAATACACTCTCAAAATATTTTTCTTCTACAAATCATCCAACAAACTCGCATGTTTATTCCCTATTTAATTGACATCAGAAAGGCTATATAAGTGGGATTTTTCTCGAGGGCGTTTTATGAGAAGCACTCTAATTTCAGATACTCCGCTCAAAGCCAATTTCTGCCCGGTTACAGCGCACCGTAAATTAGAAGAGTATCGCTAATATTGTCAATTAAAGTGGCTATTAACCCGGTGCCGGAAGCTTTAAGCGATCAACACCGTTTATGTTGCTCCGGCGCGTCGCCGGTATGAAAAATACAAGAGTACTAGTTCCTTTTACGGACCTTTAAAAGTATCTTTTCATCGTCTGCATTCGAGTTAATCGAATTGATTTTCGATTAATTGATTGCGAAATATTTTTAACGCGAGGACGAGCAATTCGATTAGAGCGCGATATATGAGTAGATGTACGATTGATTAGCGTCGTTTTTATTTAATTGGGCTACTGATTAATGATGGAATCGAATTACGCATCAGGTAAATATGAGAGGGACTTTCTACCGGCGAATTAACCGAGAGGGTGGATTTATTCGGGGAAATTTGTCAATGTAGAGTGAAAGTAAAAGCCCTAAATTGCGTAACCCTTTTGCGCAAGAAATCGGGTCGGAGCAGATGTCACGAGGAGTCGAGTTTTTATTTTTTGTTTGGGTACTTCAACGTTTCCACGGGCCGGGGGCGCAGTGGGGGGAAATTCTGGAATCGCATGCCCCCTTCTCGCAATTATCTAATATTTCGCTGGGAGTTTTGTTTTTGCGCCGCGAACTTTCGAGATGAAAGTCGTTGTTAGGCAGAGGTTTTTCGCCTAATTAGGTTGTATTAGCGTTGTAATTAAGGTTGACACTTTCGCTCCGGCAACGCGAGTTGTGCGTATCGTCCCTTGTTACTCGTTGATATATTTTTTTTAATTTATTTCTACTGTAATCTCGCTAAAAGGGGTAACGTTAGAGGCCTATTTTTTGAGAATTTTTTTAGACGCTACAGGTAAACCAAATTTATATAATTAATTGTGATGTTGTAGTACAACATATAAACGATATGTTCTCAGTTTTTTGAGGCAAAATATTAATAATCAAGACGATGGCAGCAAATCTTCGGAAGCGATGCAAAAAAGTAATTCATTGTAGAAAAGAAGAATTTAAATTTGTGTAACTTTGAATTGATTACTCAGTAGTTCGAATCGATCGAAAGAAAACAAAATGCAAATTTTAATTAAATTCGAACCTACTTTTTTCCGCCTCCTCTCGGACCATTTTAACTAATTAAAAAGAATCGGAACATTTTTTTTTATTTTATTCGCTGAAATTCAGCACCATTAATTTCGTCGCGGATAAACTAATGTATTCAACTCCCGCATCGACTATGCTAATATACTTTACCGATGCAATTGAATTACCGCTCGATGTGCAATCAATCAATTCCCCAATTAATTAAAAACGAAACTATAATTATATACTAATTGGAATACTAATTATATTGTAAATGAAACGCGTGTATAGTAATAAAATTACATCAGTAGTTTGTGTAAAAAAATAGGGCTTGTAAACTAGATTAATATGTCGTTTAGAAAATAAATCAAGCTTTATTATTTAGTGGAATAAAAAGCTCTGTTCTCTTCTACATAAATTAGCATAGGTCAACGCTATAAAATTAAAATTTTAATCGTTGTTTAAAAGAGCCGGTAGTGTTTACCTAATAACAGTTTGACCCTTTTCCCCGGGTTATCAAGGGCACTCTGGAGACCTCCCTGCCCCAACCAGGCCCTACATTGCGCTTAAAGCATAAAGTAAACGTTCAACGTCGCATTTAGACCCCCCGTAATATCATTTCTATTGACTCGCCCGGCCGGAGGAGTACGAGTCAACAAAACATCATAATGATATATATATTTCGGAATTTTTCGCATTACAACACGACCGCCCGGAGCGCCATCTGCCGATTGCCGGTTACACACGCACTCCTCGAAGGCTCCCGGAATCGATTCCGCGCGTTGTGCGTGTGCGTATGCCTGCAGTTAATCACATCCATTTTAATATTTCAAAAGGGCTTAAGCGCCGGCAAAAGTGAAATTAAATTTCGCGCGGAGGGTCTAATGCCGCCGCAAACGGGCTTAATGAATTTCACGTTAAGCGATCCTGTCGCAGCAGGAACAGCAGGGAGTTTGTATCCACCGAAAAGTCTAGAGACTGTTGGAAAAATCGGTAGTAGCGGCAACGTTGGAAATTTTGATGTGATACTAGAGATCACTACTACATACTAGAGGTACTGGTGGGTTAAATTTGAGTATATGAAGCGAGAAAATAGGGCGGTGTGTAATTTGAGAAAATTATTAGCTTTAGGTACTGTGAATTTTTGCCCCTTTATTAGGGCCATATTTTCGATATTAAATTCGAGCTAACGAGTTCCACGATGTTCTCCTGATTGAGATTATTTGCGATGAGGTCGATTTTCCATTCGCGCCCCATACAAAAAGCATCGGAAACAAAACGAAATCGAAAATTTGAATTTCTAATATTCTACACACACACACACGCAGGGAACTCCATTTTCAACGTGCCCATCCGCCTCTCTCCTGTTGTGCTCGCCCTTTTTCGCGTTTACCTTTCCAATTCCATTTGCTAAGCAATCCGCCCGAAGAGCGGCGCAAAGATCCCGGATATCAATAAAAAAATGCGAATTCCCCGCATACGACATGTAGATCGAGTTAGGCCTGTTTGTGCGCCGAAAAAAGGATATTTCTTCGGCAAATTAAATGAACCCCGGGGCGGGTCCCGGTTCAATCGAGAAGAAGGATAATTAATCTAATGATTTTCTTTCCAGGTGAACGACGTGTGGGCTTTACCAGCGTTCGTCTGCGATTTCTACATTGCTATGGACGTCACCTGTTCCACCTCGTCGATTTTTAATTTAGTAGCAATATCCATAGATAGGTGAGTACTAACAACTCGTTTCTAACCTAAGAAGAAGACCGCAAAAAGGACTCCCTGTATATAAAACGACATTAGCTCGATTAGCCGGACAGTTATCGAAGGCATTATCCTCGAGAGCGGGAGGTCTCCGGGATAATCCTCGCGAAAAGGACTCGGAATTAATGGCGACCCTTTTCCCTTTCGACTGCAGCGCCCTTATCTTTTTTTCCCCGGATTGCCCGCGACGCGGACCGACGCCCGACGGCGCCGGCCCCCCCCGTTTCCTCAATTTGTCAGGATTTACATAGTAAAATCGACGACGCTCCCCGAACGAGTCGAGTGTATCAAACCGGATCATCTTTTCGTTTCTTCAACACCTGCTATTCTTCAACTACCACCTTATCTAAATCAACTGTATTATCTGCATTTACTGGAGTATCTAAATCTACTTCAGTATCAAAATCTTCTATAATACATTATCCAAATCTAGTAGATACATCAAATTGAATTGATACTTGAGGTCAACTGCTAATAAATCAATCTTCGTCAGTATCTAAAACGAATGCATTATCTAAATCTACTACTTTACTCTTAAAATCCTCATATCTAGTCTTCAATGGAGAAGAATATTTTATACTACCATCGTTAATTTGATCATTGCAGTTATCGTAATCTGGCAGTTGCAGCTTCAATAGCAGTCTGGACCGACGTATATTATAGGTATTAATCCGAAACGTTAATTAACGGTAACGGAATCGGCGCGGGTATTTTAGCTCGTGGAAATTTGTTGCTCTATCTGGATAATGTTATTATTGCGGAGAGTCGACCAGCATTCGGGACAAAGTAAGACGGGAGACTAGTCGAGAGTTAATCTAGTTAGTGTGACACTGCGGGAGTAATCAATTTAGGTTTTAGGATGATTTTCCGAAGGTTAAGTAATCGCTTTTCGTTTCGATATGATGCGGATACTTTTGGATCTAGGTAGTGAATGTTTTTCCAATTTTTTAATGTTTTGTCTTCTGATAGTACTAGATATCCTCTTCAGGTACTACCAATTATGTAGGTTTTTTCCTACTCTGAGGACCTCTGAGATTATCTGAGATCTCTTTTGAAGTCTTCTTTGAGCTAGCTTTTCTATGATTCTGATTCGTTTATTAATCTTCTTATCTTTACAGTTCCTAGCGACTAGGATACCTTTAGCTTTCTAGATACCTTTAGTCAGCTCCTCTTCCAGAAAGTTCCTAACTTCTAGATTTAGTTTATGGTCCTCTTTAGTTTTGTTTTCTGTCAGCTTTCCTTTGGAGTTCTTTCATGAATCTCATTCGTGAAGTTTGCCTTCTATCACTACGTTAGCTTGTCTTCTAGAATGTTTCTAACTACCAGATTTGGATATGAACTTCTGTGGTTTAAATTACTATACTATGTATCATTCTTCCATTTGATTTTCCACCCTCAATTTTGACATTTATTTGCTTCTTCTGAACACAGATTTCGATGAAGACTAATTTTGGATGTTGTTGCAGGTACATAGCGGTAACGCAGCCAATAAAATACGCCAAGCACAAAAACAACAGGAGAATATGGCTGACGATAGTGCTGGTTTGGGTGATTTCGGCGGCGATTGGCTCGCCCATCGTCCTGGGATTGAACAATACGCCCGATCGCGACGAGGACGCCTGTCTCTTCTACAATAACGACTTCGTCATCTACTCCAGCCTGTCGTCGTTTTACATACCCTGCATCATCATGGTGTTCCTGTACTACAGCATTTTCAAGGTAACGCGAATTCCCGATAGAGGCGCTGTTAATTGAAAAATCCCCGCCGGACGAGAGGTTTTAGGTATTCATACGCGGCCGATTAATCAAAATGAACGTCGAAAAGGAATACACAAACGGGAATTGATTAATCGAATACGAAACTCCAACTTTTCTCGTTCTGAATGCGAGCCGGTCGATCGGCGAAAGCGCGGGCCCCTTTGAATTTCCCGACTTCCACGATTGTCTGGAGATTCTCTCTCGAAACTTCGCGGTCATCAATTCAAACTTTCGCCGTTTTGTTAGCTATACACTTGTACAATTTATGCTCGACATGAATATTAATATACAAATTTCCCTCGAAAAATACTATAATGTAATCTTGTTTTATGGCGGAATATACCATCTAAGAAACGTTCTAACTTGACCGATATTTTGATCAAAGTTTTTTACATTACTATAAAGCTGCAACCCAAATTGACTGAATCAATGGCTCCTTAGGTGACTCTTTAGATAACCCATTAGATGAATCTTTAGATGACTCTTTAGAACTCTTTAGAAGACTCTTTAGACCTCTTTAGAAGACTCTTTAGACCTCTTTAGAAGACTCTTTAGACCTCTTTAGAAGACTCTTTAGAACTCTTTAGAAGACTCTTTAGAAGACTCTTTAGACGACTCTTTAGATGATTATATAGATGACTAGATGAACTATTAGATGGCACTTTAGATGGTCCTTTAGATTTATTTCCTGTAAGAAAATTTGTCAAAATATGACCTCTTACTATTCGGTTATCTGTGTTTAAATACCTGGTAATATATAGGGGAGTTTAAATACAATCTGGCCTCGGAATTCTGCGGGATTATTCTTTTTTATTCCACTCTTTTTTTTTGGAAAAACATTCCGACCGTCATAATTTCAGACTAATCGGCCAAACACGTCTGCCAACCTCAGCAGTGACGTAAACAAAAATCCCCGACAACGCCGGACGTAGTTCGAGATAAAACCGGCATCGTAAGGGTGCGAGGTTCTAAGGGATTAACGGGAAGGGTGTGATTTACAGGTGACCCTTCGGCCGGGCGGTCGTCGACTGGCCCCGAAAACTCGATAATACTCCGAGTAAAAAAAAAACCCCGGTTTATTAACAACATACCGGCGTGATAAAAACTCACTGTTGCCTGCAGGACGATCGAATTGTGCACGCTGGGTTGCCAGGGAAGTTGGAACATCGCCCGGAGGAAATCGAACGAAACGTATATTCAATTAAACAGAAACTCAGCCACTCGCTAAGTTTCCATTCCACATTTCCAACGGTTTGGCCGATTTAAACTAAACGGACAGTTACACGTGTTATTTAAATTAGTCGAGTGTGTGCTGGCCCGCCCGTCCGGACAGATAGCGAGTTTCCCGTTCGAACGGAAAACTTATTTTATTGTCAACGGGAGAGACGAGCGATTTTTTTTTTGCAATTAAATAGTTTCAAACCATTCGTTTGATTGTTGTTGTGAATCTTGGATAGCTGCGAACGCAAGCCGACAGTAAATCAATAGAGCAAAACAGGGTAATAATTCATTTTAAAACGAGTAATTATGCAAATGTTGGAAACATGTTGTTTTGTTGTGTAATTACAACTTCATAAATATGTCGAATTGAATCGAATTAATCGTCTGCTATGCTCTTTAGATGGCTCTTTAGATGACTTTTTAGGTGATTCTTTATAAGACTACTTAAACTTTTAGATGGCTCTTTATGGCTCTTTAAATGGCTCTTTAAGTGGCTCTTTGGGTGGCTCTTTAGATGACTCTTTAGATGGCTCTTTAGATGACTTTTTAGATGATTCTTTCTAAGACTAGTTGAACCCTTAGATGGTACTTCATGGCTCTTTAGATGGCTCTTTGGGTGGCTCTTTAGATGACTCTTTAGGTGATTCTTTATAAGACTAGTTAAACCTTTAGATGGCTCTTTATGGCCCTTTAAATGGCTCTTTGGGTGGCTTTTTACATGACTTTTTAGATGGTTTTTTACTTGGCTCTTTTGGATTGCTTTTTAGATGGCTTTTTATGTGGCTCTAAGGTGGCTCATTTGGCTCTATAGGTGGCTCTTTATATGGCTCTTTAGGATGGCTTCTATTTTATTATCAATGGAAGAGAGAAGATGTTTGTTTTCTACAATTAAATAGTTTTAAACCATTCGTTTAATGGATGTTGTGGGTCTTGAATAGCAGTAAATGTAATGCGACAATAAATCAACAGAGCAAAACAGGATAATAATTCATTTAAAAACGAGTAATTATGCAAATGTTGGAAACATGTTGTTTTGTTGTATAATTACAACACCATGAACATATCAAATTTAATCGAATTAAGCGTCCGTTATTGTTCACAAAGGGGAATCTCGTTCGCCCGTTTTGCCGGCGCGAATCAAAAACGAAACCGTCTTATTTTGTCGCGTTAATTGGAAATAATCGAGGGAAAATCGCGAATTTCCCATTACGCCCTCCATAGGAATGTTAACTATTAATTGGAAATTGCAATTAATCAGAACGTATCGGCTTGTGCGATTTAATGGCGATTATTCGGGTTTACTACCGTTTAGGCGAATTACTTGTCGATGAGCGAGCCGAATTTAATCGAAACAAGTGAGTAAATTTCGAACCGTTTCCACCTTCGTTAAACCGATTCGCATTGACAAATATAACGTGATAAACGTAACCTAAAAGTTTTCCAGTTCGTTAATATATTCCGGCAGATGCTGCAATTTATACATTCATTAATTCATGCAAATTACCGGGGCGAATATAACCCGCCGATAATTCCCCATTTCGTCTCCGACAAGCGACAGGACATGACGCGCGCGTTTCGCATCTTCCTCCGCGAATAATCCGCTACAAGTATTAATTGCGCTCGTTTATACAGGTTCGATTACCGTTCGAGAGGAAATCATTCGTCCTGACCCTATGTCAGGACGCCGGATCCTATTAGCCCGGAATTTACAATTAATCGGAGCCGATCCTTTCGCCTTCCGACGGCCCGATACCGAAGGTTCCGCGTCCCTGCGTAAACCTGAAACGTGTTTCAATCCTTTCGAAACGGCGACGATAGCTTTTATTGGTATAAAACGGAACGGCATCGGCGCCCTCTCAGCATCTCGGACTAATCATTTCTCCCGGGTTTTACGAGCCCTCGTAAACGTTTCTGCGAAGGGGGCGCGCCGCCCCCCTTTGAAAAAATACTTGCGAATGGAGATTCGTCTTCGATTGCGCGCAGGAAACATGTGGGACATCTCCGGGATTCGAGCGTAATAGATGGGTCTTTAAATGGGTCTGTAGATGAGTCTTCAGATGGCTCTTTAGACGGCTCTTTACATAGTTCTTTAGATAATTCTACAGATAGTTCTTTAGACGGCTCTTTACATAGTTCTTTAGATAATTCTACAGATAGTTCTTTAGATAGTTCTTTAGATACTTCTTTAGATACTTCTTTAGATACTTCTTTAGATACTTCTTTAGATATTTCTTTAGATACTTCTTTAGATAGTTCTTTAGATAGTTCTTTAGATACTTCTTTAGATACTTCTTTATATACTTCTTTAGATACTTCTTTAGATACTTCTTTAGATACTTTTTTAGATACTTCTTTAGATACTTCTTTAGATACTTCTTTAGATACTTCTTTAGATACTTCTTTAGATAGTTCTTTAGATACTTCTTTAGATACTTCTTTAGATATTTCTTTAGATACTCCTTTATATACTTCTTTAGATATTTCTTTAGATACTTCTTTAGATACTTCTTTAGATACTTCTTTAGATACTTCTTTAGACACTTCTTTTGACACTTCTTTAGATACTTTTTTAGATACTTCTTTAGATACTTCTTTAGATAGTTCTTTAGATAGTTCTTTAGATAGTTCTTTAGATAGTTCTTTGGATAGTTCTTTAGTTAGTTCTTTAGATAGTTCTATAGATAGCTCTTAAGATAGTTCTTTAGATAGATTTTAAGGTGGCTCTTTAGATGACTTTTTAAATTGCTCTTTAGATTGTTATCCTCTAAAGAAGTGAATACTCTAGGCATGCATACATATGAAAGTAAATTGACATTGTAATACAAATTTTACACTATACACAGAAGTAATGATTAAAAGTCGGAGTAAATTTTTCGGAAAGGTCTTTCTAGGATGTTTTGGTGCATGCGAAGGTCACGTGCGGTAGTGACATTTTCTTAGGAGGAAAAATCAAACGATTTCTTCGGGTCGCTCGAACGGGTCCGTTCGATAAATCAAATTGTTCGTTCGATCGGAATAATATTTCGCCGGCGGAAAATTCCGTAATCGACGGGGAAAATCGCCGATCGCGTAAGGCAACAGTGGGAAAATCGCCGCGGCGAAATAGCGTCTAATTGTCGCCGTTTTATCGGGCGAAGCCGGTAGGTTAAAGAGATAATTGAGTCAATAATAATTAAGTGGGTCTTTGAAAGGAAAATTCGGCGAATCGAGCGAGCCCAAAAAACCAACAAAATTTCCGCTAATTCGCCGAATAAACAGCGAATTAAGCGAGAATAAATAAAGATGTCATCGGAGCGGGAGCTATCGAATCCGTACAGCCCCAAGATATTGATCTTGTTATCATTTATTTACCCCGACTAAACGTACATCAAAAGCGACAACTTCGCGAAATTTACCGTCACAATTCTCATATTTTCCCGTTTTTTTCCCCGAACGCAAACAAACCGATCCGACGGATTGATCTGTATAAAAGAGAGAAATCTTTTTTGTACATTCGACGAAATATTCGAAATATTCGGTTCGTTGCAGGCGCTGAAGGCGCGGGCGATGCAGCTGAAGATGAACAAGAAGCCGCTGCCGAGCGAGATCAAGCCCGGCTCGGTGATCGAGAACGTCTCGAACACCCATCGGCTGGCCGAGACGACGCTGGGCGGCCCGACGCCCGTCGACGAGCAGGCCACCAACACCGGCTCCGGCTCCGGCGACGAGGACGAGGAGGCGCCGCCCGACGGCGACGCCGACGATTGCCACGTCATCGCCAACGACAGGAGCACCGAGTTCATTTTGGCCACCGTCGTCGAGGAGGCCGCGTAAGTATCTGGAATTGTCGGGGAAATTATCAAACACTGAATTGTTGGCATTTTTTTTTGTGGTAAATTATTACATTTGTGCATTCGCCAGTCTAGATTTATCGTAGAAAGATTTAGTCTCTTAGTTGTAATCAGTGTTGTTAAGTAATTAATTACAAGTAATTGAATTACTTTTATTGTAATTGAGGCGGTAATTAATTACAAGATCCTCATTTGTAATTCAATTACTCCTTTCGTTACAATTACAATTACATTTTAATTACATTGGACACAAAAGTACTTATTTAATATTTTCAATACGTGGAAAGTTTAATTCCGATTGCAAATCCCTAAATAATTATTTAAAACTGACAACAAAGCAAAGTAATTGTGATTGTAATTGTAATTGCAATTAATTACAATTTGCCAAAAGTAATTGTAATTGCAATTAATTACAATTTGCCAAAAGTAATTGTAATTGCAATTAATTACATATTATAAAGTAATTTTAACATCACTGGTTGTAATGTCTTTGGGAATTATTGATTTTCTTATTCCCGATAAAAAAATCTTCTGTAAAATCATGGTAAAAAAGCAGGGAGCGAATTTTCGGAATAATTCAGCAGTTTTTTATAACACGCCAAAAATGCAGATTATGCCATAAAATGCAATCTCGCTGCCCTAAAATTCCGCTCTAACGAGAACCGCGCGCAATTCGCAGGACGAGCATTCCGCGCGTTATAAAGTAACTTAAATTAGATTTCCGAATTAGATTCGCAGTTACAAATGAAGGTAGAGTCGAATCTTTAGCGTATGCACCGGTAAATAACAAGCCGCATACAATAAAGATTAACCGGATCGCGAGCTTAACGTATGTCTACTGATAAATTTAATACCTCCCGGTAGATTTACTGTTTCGCATTTGATTTACGCTCGGTTTATAGGCGACCGGGGACGGCGATGTAAATAACGCGCCGGCGAAAAATTATTTCATTTTCGCTGGGAAACGATCGTTTTTTTCCGAAACCATTGCGAATGCATTTATGCAAATGCATGCGTATTTTAAACAAGCTTTCCGCGGGCCGGACCAGCAAACTATAACAAAGTAAAAAGGAACTCCGCCGAATGGAAATCGGTGTGTACTCAGTGCACTGGTTGATTAAAATCAATTCGCGGATTGCGCGAAAACTCTGCGTGAAAACGTGCCCTTTTTCCAAGCCGCAAAGCCGCTACACGGACAAACACGTGTCGGGGATTTATCGCCGGCTTCCCTCGATGAGCGGGAAAAAAACTTTCCCATCAAACTTAGATTCGATTCCGCTCGATGTTTTACGCCGACGCGCCCGCGTAAAAAATATGTTCCTCCTCGATTTCCATCAGCAAATTGAGGCGAACCCATCGAAATCTATGTAAGAACTGCTTAGCATTCATCCTGCCCGGCCGTGTTTCGGGGCGCATTAAAAACGAAGACTATCCCAAAATATCCGGCATTAGGCTTTACTCCGCGTATTGCCCGACGTGCTCCGCAATCCAACTCGCCCTTTTTTTTCCGCCGAGAGATTTTTTTCCAGCCCGCGTAACTATCGCTAATGTAAAGAGCGTTTTCCAGGATATCGACTGTCGTCGCCCATCTTCCGGCCCCTCTGGCTGATCCTAACGGCAACAACGATTCGGGATACGTCCACAGCCATCCGGATATCTCCGTAATCGAAAGCCCCAGGAGGATCAGGAACATCTCCAAAAAGAACGGAGCCACCTTGGACACCGAATTAAGGTACCTACATCAAATAATCCTATGATTGATAGTCCTTGAGATAGTCCTTAAGATAGTCCTTGAGATAGTCCTTGAGATAGTCCTTGAGATAGTCCTTGAGATAGTCCTTGAGATATCCTTGAGATAGTCCTTGAGATAGTCCTTGAGATAGTCCTTGAAACAGTCCTTGAACAGTCCTTGATAATCCTTTAAGAAAGAATTCTTGTTGTGGAATTGAATTCTGTTGGTTTTGTGTCCGAAGGTCGGTTCGAAGGGTGGTGAATTCGAACGCGTCGAGTCCCGTGCAGTCCAGCAGGACGATGGTAACTCCGCTGTGTTCGATAGGATCGAAGAAGGAGAAGAAGGGCTCGTCGGCGGCGCGATTCACCATCTACAAAGTGAACAAAGCCAGCAGGAAGAAGCGGGAGAAATCGTCGGCGAAGAAGGAGAGGAAAGCGACGAAGACTCTAGCTATTGTGCTCGGTGAGTTTGCTTCTACACTATATGCAAAACAGTTTTGAGTGTATGCGTTTAATTGGAGCGAATTGGAAACTCGGTGTGGTCGTGTTGCAGGCGTGTTTCTGATCTGCTGGTTGCCGTTCTTCACGTGCAACATCCTGAGCGCGATGTGCAGCAAGCTGAATTTGGACTGCCAGCCGGGCGTGGCGGCTTTCCTGCTGACCACTTGGCTGGGGTACATGAACAGCTTCGTCAATCCGGTGATCTACACGATCTTCAATCCGGAGTTCAGGAAGGCGTTCAAGAAGCTGATGTTTATGGGAGGTTAGGTTGTTCGGATGCTGGAAGGAGTTTTTAATAATCGTTTCGCAATAATACAATAATCGTGCCAAAATTGTGTTAGGTAGTTTTTGGTGGGTTTTTTTTTTGTCACACGATTACAGGGCGGAATTGCCGGAGTGAGAATGCGATGAGGGCGGTGGAAAAAAAGAATATTTTACGGAAACTCGGATTGTTGGTCTATAAGAGAGACATGAAAAAATATTGATGTAGGTTCTTTGGGCGAAATTGAAAAGCGTATACGGCGAAACGTACGCCATTTGTACCTTTATGAGTTTTTATTATTTACACATGGCCGATTTCCATATCGTATAAACCGGGCGGTATTAAAGCCTGCACGCCGGTCCTTTTTCCCCCCATCATTCCGCATTCTGTACTTATATTGACCCACTTGGCAGAAATTCGCAACGTCCATAAATGCCAAAAATGGCCCGCAATAAATTCGGATCTTATATTAAATATTCCGAAAGATACCCTTTAGTTTATAGAGCAAAAAAAAGCCCCCGACGGGCAGTTTCTAATAAAACGGGCTCGATTTGTTTAAATTTGTTTAAGTTACACCGAAGGAGCCGTTGCTCATCGATTATTGTTTTTTATTTTATAGCCAATAACCCGAAAAGGATATATCGCAGAAGCATTATTAAATTCCATAAGGGCGTAAGTTTTGAGAGTGAAAATAATGACGTTTCTTTTAATAGAGATGGACGAGTATGGGTTATAAAATAACGTATATACACATCGATATAAAAAAAAGGTTTTATTAATACAGATAGATACTTGGCGAAAACGCGCTGACATTGATAATAAAAAACCCCTCGAATTTGGTTACCGTATAACATTTTTATTGAAAATAAAAACGTACCTCATACATAGGGCTCGTTGTTGGAAATAATTGTCGTGGATTAAACTTCGAAATTCGCGCGAGTATAAATCGTTTCGAGGCGAATAAAAAAATCCGATTTATTCAATCGACGCCCGAGTGCGTATTGAAAACGTATCCCGAAAATTTATTTTACTCTCCGATATAATAAAGCGGTAATTCCCGCGCACGCACTCCCCCGAAAGGCGGTTTGTCCGCGATAAATCCGAAAAAAATTAAACGAGAAATGAATGGGGATGAAATCCCGTTTCGAAAATAAAAGAACGATTTTTTCTTTCGAGTCTTTTTCCTCCTGTAATCGTGTTTTGACGTCAACCCACTTAATAAGCGGAATTTGTATATTCTTTTATGAAAAAAAATTCAAACCGTAGGCGTATTCGAATACCCCAACATTCGAGTACGAGGGGGATATAAAACGTGCTTTATTAAATCTAATTTACGGTGGGCCCCTCGTATACACACGCCTATGGTTCGTTTCGGGCCCTTAAGAAGCGCATTACAGATATTCCGAATTTATACCAGACATATCATCGAGACCATTAAAGGCGAAAAAGAAGAATGAGAGCAAGAAAGGAACCGGCGAGAGGTTGAAAAAAAGGAACTTTCAGCCGAAAGCATCGACAGACATTAAGTTCTCGATAATAAAATATGCGGACTTTAAATCGCGAATTGATATTGGAAATACATTACGGATCGTTCGGAATCGAGAACCGATGAAAAGGGGAAACATTTCCAAGGGGATTTTCATTTTTCTTGCGTACATATGCGGGCGTTGGGATTTCGGGTTGTTTCGATGGGGAGTTTTCTTAACGTCTCAATAGCACCATTTTTGTTTTTTTTTAATAAGAAAATAAACATTTATTTACCTTGTACTAGTACTCACCCTTTTGTCCAGCAAAATGATTGATTTGAGCAAAAATTGATGCGATATTTGATCGATATAATCCTTCCTTGGAAGTTTCCACCTGGTTTTTAATCTTCGCATTTCCCTGGGAAAATTCGGGATTATGAATTATGCAATGATCCGCGCGGGGCAAAGGGCGAAAAAGGGACTTTCGATTTCTGAACGGTATCGGAATGTTTTACGAGGGGCGACGCGAATGTTCGACCTTTCTGCGCTGTCGCCCTCCAAAGGCGATATATGCGTTGGCCGAAAGTCATTTTTGCATAACTTCCAGTGAGTAATGGCCGTCTGATTAAAGATTTTTTTCCTTCTTCTTCCCCGGCCCGAAAAGGAAAATTTATTTCCCGTTTTTCCTCGAACTTTGCGGCGTCGATTCTTTGTTCTGCTACTTGTATTAGGAGATTATTATTTTCGAACACTGTTGTAATTATTACGTATAAGCGGCTGTCTCAGAACAATATGTAATATGTATAATGAAATCATAGAAATCAAATTTAATGTATAAATTAGGGTAATTTTAATTGTATTGAGAGATGTTTTTGTTTAAAAAAACAGATGTTGTGTATATAAAGAGAATTGTATATAAAAATTTGTAAAATTATTAAATATTATACAGGGTAAAATTAATGTATAAATTGTATAAATTCGTTTCAAAATAACTAGTTAATATTTAGTAATAAATTTAAAAATTCGTAGACAAGTGCATAATATACAGGGTGATTAGTTGTAAATCCTACATTTAGAACCAAATTCTAATCCATATCACTAAATGTATTTCCGTTGTATCTCCTATACCTTTCTAACAAAAAAAAATCCCTTTCTCTTACCAGTTATTTTTCGACACGTCTTTTGCGCCACCCTGTATAAAAAAACCTGTACATTTTTGTATAAACTACTATCAAACAGATCAGTATTAAAATAAAACGAAAGCTTTACATAAAAGCGATGATCGCATAAAATTTACGCGCGGCATTCGCCCAATCCATTCGCCTGTGTCGCACGAAGAGCCCGATTTTCTGCGAACACCAGCTGCATTTAAACATTACAAATAGGTGCAATTAAATGAGAAAATCCAAATCAAAAATGATCTTTTACCCTTTCTCCGCCATTCGTACGCTTATTACCGCTAAGGATATTATTATTATTATTAAACGTACTGTTATTGAATTTGATGATATTATCGTATGTATCGCCTACTATTTTATGTTAATAAAAAGCTATTTCTTATTAGTAAGGTTTTCGTTAGTAGTTTATTTAGGTAACAATAACACACCATTTTATCTATAAAACGATTTTAATAAATTCGATACAAAATAAAACAATACAAACACAAAGTCAATCCGAAACGTATAGAAGAAAAACTATATACAAAAGAACAAAATTCCACATAAAGATAAAACAAAATAAATAATTCCTACATTAACCTCAAGCGTACTGCACGTTTCCTTTCGCCTGAGCGCTCTGAGCGCTCTGAGCTCCCACAGTATAATACTGGTGCTGTTGCGCCTGCGCCGGCTGCGCGTAGACCAACTGCTGGTGCTGCTGGTGCTGGTTCTCCACCTCCTGGGGCAGCTGGAACGAGTACTGCTGCGACGGCGCCGCCGAGTAGGCCTCCTCCTGGCCGGGCTGCTGGCCCTTGGCCAGCTGGTACACCAACCGGGGATCCGCCTGCGTGTACACGAACTTCTGCTGGGGCGAGTACGCCTGCGGCTGTTGCTCGGGCGCCGCGTAGCTGGCCTTCTGCGCGATCTGCTGGTAGATCTCCTCGTAGTTGGGGGCCGCGTTCGAGGCGCTGTAGGCGTTTACGGCCACCGCGGCCGGTTGGGTTTTGTACTGGGGCTTCGCGGGCGCGGAGTACTGCACGGGAGCGGAGGTGTACTGGACTTTGGGCGCCGAAACGTACTGCAATTTCGGTTGCGGTTGGTACTGTTGTTTGGACGGTTGGGCCGATGGTGTGTAGGACACCGGAACGTCTTGCGACGATGCTCCTTTGCCCGCTAATTGCTGCAGGAGTCCTAAGTTGTTGTAGGATACCACCGGGCTGGAGTAGCTGAAGCTCGATACGTCCGCAGCTGAGGAATAGTGGACTTGTTGCTTCGGTTGTTGCGTGTATGTGTACTGTAAATGAATGAAGTTATAATGAAAAATTATTTATTACGATGAGTTGTAGCGGTTTTAATTAGTTTTTCGAACAACAAACGAATGTAGTTTTCGTGATCTCATCCGGACCCTTGAACTTTTCCCGAGCGAAATTCGCGCTCGTTGCGAGATTGGCGATTAATTTTAAATGCTAAATCGTGAATGTCCGCTCGACTGTGCAGTTACAAAACGCTGGAAATTACCGAACGTCGAAAGTTTTCTTCTATTTACCCAATCTGCGAACGGACCGGCTGATTTGAAGCGCCCCCGGGGGATACCTGTTAGTACACGATTTATTTTTTGTACATTTACCGAGATGCGTTCGAATGAAAAGCGTCCATTAGCGCAAAATTTTGATTCCGATGCTCTTCTATCTCGCTGGATTCGGTAACAAGAAGGGGAGGTTTTCTTTTCGATTGGAGAACGAACGAATAAATTTTTATGAAGTCCCTCAGATCTAATCGACTTCTTACTTATACCTGATTTGTCCTTTAATGAATTCGATAAGTCGTAAAAACCTCGTTTGTCGCTGATAAAATTTAATGATCGATGATTGCCAGCTCTTCCGGCTTAATGGTACGTTATCCCCGAACAAACAACTATTAATTATTTCTGGAAATGAAACGGCTCCGGGTCATGCCGCGTTTACGATTCCTTGGTTTCTGATTTACGGTGTTTGTTATTCGAGGAAATTAAGTGTATTTTCATTGCGCCCCGATTGCTCGTTGCACTCCCGCGAATTTTACACGGAGTGTAGCGAATTCTTCGCCAGGCTTCCGCGCGTTTAAAACGAAACAATTCGAACCAGTAGAGCAAATATATAGTCGTTCCGCCGCCCTTCGCCCTTTCGCATTTACCGTCGTGTTCGGTAACATCGGCTCCCGAAGAGCAACAGCTGGGGTGTCTGTTGCCGGAGATTCGCGACTCGATGGTTTAATCAGCATCGTCGGGATATTTAGGAACGAGCCGTTTTCCCGGTGAAATCGCTTTACGCGCGCTATTCGCTGCGAATTTTCCTCGAACGAACTGCACGAAATTGCACATCGAATTGCACATTTATAACAATTAAAAATCAGTCTATAATTATGTATTTTAACTCGTGCTAGTGCAATATTTAATCGCCTCGCGATAAATCCACCTGCATAATACTAACAACCGTTCTAATCTTGTTTTTTTTGCGCGCCTCTGCCGGCTTTCGTTCGTTTACCTTGCTCTAATAACCGTTAGCGTTTTATCATTTTACAACTTTTCAGTGAAAGTACCAGCGGATAGATGATGCAGAATATCATTAGCGTTTGCAATTCGAATTCCGTCATTTTAATTGCAACGAATATCGAATACAGGGCGTACCAAGAAATTGTTGCTTGCGCCACTCGATTTTAAAGTGGCTGTACATCCTTTATTATCGATAAGAAGTATCGAGTATGACACATCGTTGAAATCACCTCACCTAGGAGATTCTAAAAATCTACTAACATACAGTACGTCCCATTTAAATTCACAACTTTCTGCATAACCAACCTTTTTTTAATTTGTACAGACTGTAAGGGATGCGAAAACTCTTTTAGAAACAAACAGGCGAGTACCGAAGTGGCGGAAATAATAACATTATTTTCTCGAAATGAAGTCTTAAAACTCGTCTCGTAACGGGAGAGCAAAATGAGCGGGAATTTAATGCCGAGTCGCGACTAATTCAAGTAAACTGATGCAGTTTAAGATGCAGGTGATGAATTGTTAATTAGGATTAAGTTTCTTGTAAAAAACATTCGCTCTAAGTTGAGAGGATTCTAGTGGAAACTACTAGCTTGATGATATTTTGGGAATATTTTCATCAAGTCTCCACCAATTTAAGCGATAAATTGTAATAAAAATGTACCGTACCTTTGGAGATTGCGCGGCAGAAGCAGCGGCGAATTTAGGCGATGGTTGATAGGCTACAGCCTGAGCCTGGGTAGCCTCAGGTTGTTGGTAGTATTGTTGGAGCGATTGGGTCAAATATTCAGGTTGTTCTCTGGCAGCCTGTTGGTACTGGGCCTGGCTGTATTGAGGCGAGAAACCTTGGTGGGTGTCCACCGTGGTCCTTTTCCCTTTAGGCTTTTCCGCTTGGGCGACGATCGCGCAGGACAGAATCGTTATCTGGAAAACGAAAAACGATTATTTTTTTTTATCGAAAACGATCGAAATGTTGGATATTCGTCGGCGAACATCACCACTATCCCAAACAGTACAACCCCACTGCGATATTTTACTCACATAAAACAACCTCATGTTCGTCTATTACACGTTGCTGATTTCAAATATAACTAAAGACTAATAACAGTGGAAGAAGCGACCTAAGGTTATATACTAGCACGATCACCTTTCTCCATTCCCGCCAGTTTTTTCACGAAATATTCTCGACGGCAAATTATTGTGTCTGCGCTACTCTATGCTGGCATGTAGTTACAATGCTGATAGTTAATAACAAACAAGAAATATTAAATTAATACGTTATAGATAAGAGGCCAAAATTTATAAAAAGAAGAGTTGATTTTCAGGGGATTTACAGATGCATTTGTTTGGTTTTTTTGGGGAAGTTTTTATACGAATAAACACTGCTTATTTAAGTATATTTTATTCAAGTATGCGCAATTTCCTGTTCAATTTAGTTTCTTAGAACAATGAGTGAATAGTATCGATAGGAACAATGAATGGGCTATTCGTAAATATCGTTTATTCATCGATATAATACCGGCTCGATTCGACTTTGAAAATAAAAGCGTGGTTCGAAATTGATATTGCTCCTTAGAAATCCAATTCGGAAAATCAATAAAGCGTTTAATCGATTATTGCGCATTGTATACTCCTCTCGATCGTCGGTGGAAAAATCGGCGTATTCGATAAGTCGCCTTTCCCTATCTAGAAGAAAAATTTTACTCGTTAATTTGGCTCACGAACTTCGATATAATAACTGTGTTGGGTTCGCGCGCCTCTGGAACCGTGAGATCGGAATAATATATCGGATCTTCACGTTTACAACTTTATTACGCAAGCCGGTCGGTTTGTGTTCTTGTCGTCCTTTTTTCCCATGCCGTAATAAATGTGGGAAAATGATTAGCATGTGTATACATATGCATGCGCTTTCTTCCACTCGGCGCTCGATCGACTCGAGAGAAAATCGAAAGAATTTAACGAGATTTTTGCTCTGTAAATTAGTAACAAAAAGTAGAAGTTTTATGCTCATTTTATGAGGTACCCTCGTAAATTATCTCTTATAAGCTATAGGAATAAAACGAGATTAAAAGTCTTTTTTTGCTCGGTAAATTAATTACAATTGTCATTTTTCTTGTATAATTTTATAAGGTATCCTCGTAATTTTTTTCTAATAAGCTGTAAGAATAAAACGGTATTAAAGCGGCCTTCTTTTGCTCAGTAAATTGGTTACAATTGTCATTTTTCTTTAATCATTTTAAGAGGAACCTTCGTAAATACTCTCTAATAAGCGGTAAGAATAAAACGAGATTAAAGCGGCCTTTTTTTGCTCAATAAATTAGTTACAACTGTCATTTTTCATGAATTATTTTCGAGGTACCCTCGTATTTGCTAACAAGCTCGCACAGCGAGCGAAGAAATTTCTTCTTTCAGCACAATTAATTAAATTCCGTAATTTTCCGTGAAAGATAAAAAAAAACTGTTCTATCTCTCTGCGACCTCGCCCGTCATTCGCTATTTAGAAAGCGCTTTTTAGATAGTAAACTCCCACATTATTTTGCGCTATCTCGTTACGTATGCGCGCGTAATTTATGCAGGATCGGCGATAGATACTCTAAATGAGTTCGTTTAATAAAAAAAAACCCGATCGCTTTTTGCGTAACAATAACGGAAGATGTCCGGCGAATGGAAAGGGAGGCGCGGTCGTGGAAAAAGTGCAGTATCCGACCCGGTTTTCCGCGGGTCTCTCGGCGCAAGAGAGCGGAAGAAAGCGAATTTTAATTAGTTCTGTGTTATCTAAAATCGAAAATATTTTTCATTGCTCGCGACAGAAATGTATAGGAATATCGGCGCGCTCGGACGGATGTGAAAGTTATAATATCGAACTCTTCTCGGTACAAAACTAATTCAAGGATGGCGTGTCCTTTTTTTGCTCCGATCGTTTTGCAAACTAACAGATTTTAATGCAACAGAAACGAGGAAGAACTATCGACGAGATAAATCTCTGCTAGATATCGATCGTTATCGATCCAAAGAAATAAATCTACTGTTTTTTTTTATTTGCTTCGTATAATTAAGTGCTATTATCGTGTTTCCTTAAATTAACGTCTTAATCGCTTCGAAGAGTACCCGGTAAAATGACGCAATTAATTACTTGGAAATATTCCGAAAATCGAATCGAAACTGATATATTGAAGTAAAATAAAATTTCTTTTAAATGCAAGATTTCTACGATCCGATACTTTCTCTAATTTTGACTGAATTATATCACCTCGAAAACTTCGAAACGACACGATACTACTTTCTTTTCGGTACTTAAACGGTTTTGCTATTAAAAAATGCATTTAATTAACTCGCAGCGTTACATGCAGATCGGTAATTGATAACCGATAAATTTCTAATCAGAAATCTCAATAAAATCGCAGTCTTGATAAGAGAATTTTGAGCGGGATTTATTTTATAGAATAAAAAAAGTAATTAGTCCGGCAAGAACAAATGAACGGTATCGCGCTGCATTTTACATTTTTGTATGAAAGTTGATGAAATTCGTGATTTGTGGACTTTCATAAGCAAAAACTTTCATTCTATCTCAAAGGTTGTTGAAACCGCATTAAAACACATGTGCGTTACGACGGTATTTTTCATCGTATATTAGCAATATAATATAATTACTTAATGCAAGCAAATAATAACGCGAATTGGGATGAAACATTTCGAAACGATCGAGAGAAACTCGAAAATTCCTCCGTTTTCGCCCGGTCAACATCCGTTTGGTACAATTACCATCAATTTTCGCCATTGTGGAGCGTATTAGAAACAATTTTTTGTTAACAACATCGCAATTAATTGTTGCTTCGCATTCGGGAGACCTCTAAGTACGCCGATTGTTCCACTCCACAAACGGATGTTGCGCCTTTGTAATTCCTCGAAACAAAGAACCGAACGAAGAACTCAAGGGTGAAAAAGAAACGACTTCCATTGTTCGATTGAAATAACACAATCGACGAACGCCCAGCGCCGCTTAGAAGGAATCATTATCATGACACCGAATATGATTTACTAGTTTCGCTAATTACACCTGATATTATAGCCGTGATTATGATTAACATTGCACCATTTGAAAGGGTATATTTTAGCGTGCAATCCGATGAAAAATCGCAATTTTCTCGAAAACTATTTGAGATAAAAACATTCTGCTTCTTCTATTTTGCAGAAAAAATATTTATCTGTAATTTTTAAAGAGTTAAAATTATTCGAAAATCGCTTAATTTTTTATATATTTTAGGTTTCTTAATAAATGTATTGCCGTCACTAATTTCAGTGCAACTTGATGAAAAATCGTAATTATCTCGAAAAGTAATTGAGATAAAAACATTCTGCTTCTTCTATTTTGCAGAAAAAATATTTATCTATAATTTTTAAAGAGTCAAAATTATTCGAAAATCGCTTAATTTTTGATATATTTTAGGTTTCTTAATGAATATATTGCCATCACTAATTTCAGTGCAATTTGATGAAAAATCGCAATTATCTCGAAAAGTAATTGAGATAAAAACATTCTGCTTCCTTTATTTTGCAGAAAAAACATTTGTCTATAATTCTTAAATACTCAAAATTATTCGCAAATCGCTTAATATTCGAGATAATTTAAGTTCCTTATGATTTATATCGGTATTACCAAGGTTATTGTAATTCGATGTAAAATCGCAATTATCTCGAAAAGTAATCGAGATAAAAACATTTTGATTATCTTATTTTGCTGAAAAAAACCTTTCTCCAGCTCTTTAAAGCTGAAAAAATTTTAATAACCAGCTTAATTCCTGATTTTACGAGCAATTCTTTATACAACTTTTCAAACCTAACTATCGAGCTTTCAAAAAATTATGGCCAATAAAAAATGTTTAATCACGCAATTACTCTAAATATTACCGTGCAAAACTCTTTTATCTTGCATAATACGAGCAAAGAAAGTAATCACTACACTAAGCAATCTCCAATTTACAGGCTTAACGAGCATTCGAAGCGACTGTATTAATATTAAAAAGAAATCACTAGGTGTCAGATCGGGTGGGCGCGTTGTTTGCCAATCATTAAACCGAAAAGACGTCGCGTTTACACTTCGTTACCTGAAATGCATAAATTACTGATTAACATTCGCCCGTCATTCCAGCGAAATGCGAACCGACGTGAAGTTGCTGGGCCATTGCTACAAGACAGGCCGATGGTTGGGCTTCACCGTCGCCGATAACAAATTCTCGAAAGTTTACGTGAAGTTTTCGTTCATCGCGTACGTTTTGGGCGCGATTTTTTCGATGCAGAACCGGTATTACGGCTTCTGGAGAAGATGCACAGCTTCGCAGATCGTGATCGATTTTTTGGAAGGAAGCTTCCAGTCGCTGCTTCTCCTCATCGGTTTCGCTAGAGCTTTCGCCTGCGAGGATAACTGGATCGCCGTGTTTACAGCTATTGGAAATATCGATGAGAAGTTCGATGTACAAGTAAACGGGTCTTCGAGGAGTTTTGTCGCGAAAATCGTTGTTTATTTGCTGTTGATAACGACGATTCACGTCTACGATTATTCGATTTGGTTGCCCAAAGCTGGGGTATACGAGGAATGGGGATATGTAATTTTCAGAATAAGCACTTATTACAGCTTGTACGTGGCTGTTACTTCTTATTCAGCGGCGCTTGTGGTGAAAAATCGATTGAATCACGCCGATAAACTGATACGAAATATTACTTTGGATAAACTAGATGTTTTAGAAATGAACAACGTTAAGGTGCTATTAGAGCAGTTGCATAAGATTGTTGTTAATTGCAACGAATTTATCGGTTGCTGGAGCATTTGCCAATTCGTTAATTCTACGTTGAATTTCTTGGACGCCATGAATACTATTTTGATGTTTTCGAAAAATAACGGTGAAGCTTTCGATATCGGATTGATTACGGTCAATATAGGATTCAGCATGATAGTTTCGGTATGAGATGTATGAGATAATATATGAGATAATTCATGTGGTGACGTCATCGTGATGTTAATTTGAATGAATTATATCCGTAAATTTGATTGTTACAGATTTCTAACTTCATTATAATATTATCGTGCGATGAACTGGAGAAAATGGGCGAGAAAATGGTGAAATATTGTTACTTACTGGAAGGTGTAACGGAAAAAAGTTATTCGAGAAACGAGTTTGTTTTTTTTGTGGAAATTATGGAGGAATTGATGCCGAAATTTTCTGCAGGCGGATTTTTTCGAATTAACAAAACGATTTTGTCAGTGTTCTTTTCCACTCTCATATCTTATTTCGTTATTGTCATTCAGTTGACGATTACTTTATAAATCGAATAAATAAATAAAATAAATTTTTCTTAAAGTAGCTGAACATCCTTTACTATACAGATCCACTTTTGATAGTTTATTTCGATTAAATGTAAAAAGAAGAATGTGTCAAAATTCAAATCAAAACTTAGGTTATGGTTGGTTTGAAAATGGAATTATTTTCAAATTTATAATGAAACAAGATAGTACATTAGTGTTTATACCAAGTAATTTGATTTACAAGCAAACGGGCTATTTGAAAGGATGTAAAAAATGTTTCGAAAATAGCGAAGTCTATTATGTTACAAGTAATAAACCCATAAGAAATACTTACCAATACCAATGCATAGGCTTCGTTGGAGAAACAGTGGATTTTAAAGACTCAATAGGCAACATTCCTTTATTTATTAATAGTAAAAACGGACAATTAAGTGTAGAAAACAATTCATCCATTACACAAATTTTGTATGATTACGATAGGTTCAAAAATTCCGATCTCATACACAATCAATCGGAGAAATACGGACAACATTTCAAATACTTAAGCGAGAAACTGAAGACTACTAGAGAAATATCACAAAATGGCCGCAATTCTATCACCAAATACATTTTGTTCTTAGTACAAATATTCGATTATATATTAAAAATAACACGCAGGATTCATCAAATTGTACAGAAATCGTCCACCTTTGCTCACTTCGAAGGAAACATCACAACTGCCAAATGGTTCCTTACCACTTTGATGGAAGAAAGAAAAATAACACCGAAAGTCGGTAACACTATTTGCGCCAAGATCATCGATCTGGTAATCGGGGTAATTTTAACAACATACTTGTTCGAATATGAGCAACAGATTTTCGATTTCATCAATTTCAACACAGAGGTAAATCGATTTTAACTCGAAGCAATTAGTAATATTAATTACAGTTTCGTTACAGGTTATCATCTCGAACCTTAGAGGATTGTTGCTGTACTTGATGGGCCAACCGATCGGTTTGAAATTGAACTACAGCTACAACAATTTCTTGGGCAGGTTCTTTCTGTACCACATTTCCTTGTGGAGGATCTTCCTGCAAGGATTGTACCCGTTGTTTACGGGTTATTTTAAGTTTCTGGTGTTGCCTGGATTTCTGGGATTCTCCTATCAAATCGCCATGATTTCCGATGTAGTTTCGATCGCTACGTTTCACTCTTATTGTATTTATATTTATGCAGCCAGGTATTCGATGTATTCACTTTGAATATGTTGCTGTATTAACTCAATATTTGTGTTTTAGGTTGTTTAATTTACAGTTGAAATGCTTGAAGTCTCTATGGAGGGTGTTGATAGGTAGGAAATTCAATCCTCTTAGAGATCGTGTGGACTCTTGTCAGTACTCTCAAGACCAGTTGTTTATCGGAACTTTATCTTTTACTATATTATTCTTCCTGTTACCCACGACTATGATGTATTACGTCGTTTTTACTGTGGTAAATGCAACATAATTCGATTTTTGCGAGTGAATAATCGGTTATTTATTTGCAGTTTCGCCTCATCACTTTAACAGTTTATAAATGTCTTCATATAGTGAGGAATACAATGCAAACAATTCCGATATATTTACTATTTCTTTGGATTGTAAATGCCTCATCGATGGCAGGTAATATTCATATAGCTTGGAAAAGCTTCGATGATAGAGGTAACGTGAAAATCGAAGCGAAATTGGAGAAACTTCCCCTATTGGAGAGCGTTAAAAAGTTCATTCCGGAATCCGAAAGCCCTGCGAAAAATCCACGAGGATTCGGAGAAATTTTTCATTCCATACTAACCGGAACGATTTTATAAGGAAGTTGTGAGTATTTCTGGAGCATTGGTTCGAAAAGAAAAACTGTTCAATAATTTTGTTTGGAGTTTATTTAATAAATTTTGTTTGATCAGTTTGCATCTTTGCACAATTCAACAGGCTGAATACTCTTAGTAGTCAAGGCCTAGTCTAAGAAAGTAGTAAATTGTGCCTGTAAATGTGGGTTATTTGGTTCATGGATTCTGAGATGCATGAAGTTAGCCACGAAGTAAAAATGTATAATATACGTCAATTGTTACAATGTTGTTAAATTTTTCTGTATTTATGTTTATTCAATAAACTCTAAATTAAAATTTGAACAAAGTAAAGTGTATTGACATTGACTAAATAATTTTAGTAGTCAAGGCCTAATTTGAGATGCATGAAGTTAGGCACGAAGTAAAAATATTTACGTCATACGTCAATTGTCAAATAAATTTAAATTTTTGAGATTTAAAATATTACAAAATGAATAGAAAAAAAACGTAAATTTAACAAAATTGGACTACCAAATGTAGTCATTATATCTCCTTTTACATGAAACTTGAACACCAGACCTGCAATTTACAATATTACTCTAATATTATTTGTTACCAGAGCAACAACCGAAGATCCCTAGAGTAACCCAGCAACCCTTATTTAGTTCAATATAACAGTAACAAGGGTATTTGCGATCTTCAATATTCCAAATCGTCCGATTTCTTGGCGAAAATGGGTGGCAAAAAGAAAAAAACCATGGCCAATAAATTGGCGAAAATGTCCGACGAAGAAAGAGCTCGTTACATGCAACACAGGGCAGAGATGGAAGAGGAGGCCAAACGGAGAAAAGAACAATTAATAGCAACATTCATGAAGGTATGAGATATATAGGGTGAGTTCAAGAATATGTACTCTCAAAGGAATCGTATGCAGGGTAAGTGCAAATGTGTTTGCATAATCGATTCGACAATGAGTCGAACAAAGAAAGATTAATCAAATAACCGTGGTTAGAGTGAGAAAGTTGCAATATCTCCACAATACCAATGTTTCTCTCTCCTTTATATGCGACTAAAGTTGTCTTTGTCGCGCCCATAGTTTACATTGCAAACAATTTTGCACTTATCTGTATATTTCCTTATTTACTCTATTTACTACTTCCTTGATTCACCCTGTATAAGATTGTTCGTTGATTCACCCTGAACATTTTAAATTAATTTTAGTAAATTGTCTACATCACGTTGAAAAAAAAGTACATTTACATGAAATAGATTATGAATTTTAATCGGTTTCATAACCTTAGGTTGTTTCTCAATGTATTCGAGTAGTGGGAAGGTTGTTCTAGGTGTTTGTTTTCAATTAGCTTTGTTGAAAAACACAAATTACCTTGAAAACCAGTTCCAACTGGCAACAAACCATTAACTCGGGCGACTGATAAACATTTTATCACAAATACAAATGCGACGTTCTATAAATATTTTATTTATTCAAAAACATTATAAAGCATTTTACACACTAAACGAAAAATCATATTCAAACAACCCCGTGCGGTTCGTTTTATAGCGTATTTATTAAAGGCGTAAAATTAAATCAAAAAAAAGTTCCATTTCGATGAAAAAAAAAGTTGCATAATAATAAGCATTATTCTCAGTCTCGTTACTAAATCACCTTTCCTATTTCGAGTCCGATTTACCCCGTTTCTCCCTCTCGCACGATCACACGCCTTGCCTCTTCTTGTTCGCCTCGGTGTTCATCAGTTTCGTGGCGATTTTCCTGGAATGGCCGGAAGGATCGAAATGGTTCGTGTGCTCGCTGACCTCCTTCTTCGTCCTTTGTTTGCCGCTGTGGCCGCTGTACAATTGCTTGTCGTACTCGAAATTGTAGTGCTCGTATTCGTCGAAATGGCTCTCTGACATGTTGACTGGACGATTGGACACTTTCCGGATGAAATGATAAATGCGAAATGCGACGCAAAACGGGTTTACTGTTCGCCTTGGTAACGAAAACGAATCGATTTGTCGTGCGCGCGTTAAAGTTGCACTAGGTAGCTCGCTGGTTTTGTTTGATGCGTCCTTCGTAGACCGGCTATTTATACTGTTGGATCAGCTGACGTCAGGTTATTCAACCAGATTATGATACGGAATTGTTTTGGTTTGGTTGCTTATCTTTTTGTTTTGTTTTTTATTTTTTTGCCAATGTAAAATGTACTAACTAAGCAATTATTGCACCTATTAAGTAGCATAAATTTACACTCTTTGTTTCCTTTAGATCGATTAATAGTCCTAATAAAACATTTTCGCGAGTTTAACAAGTTTTAATTGATCTTTAGGAATGTATTAAAAGGTAACTAGGGTATTAAAAGGTCAAAGACATCGAGACAGAAACTTTGGTTTCTGTTATTAGATACTCTATAAAAAGTTCCCTTAAATATATACAGTTGGTGCAACCTACCCTACTCTACCCTAATCAAGAGTCTCTGAATTTTTGTATACCCTGTATATCTACTCCTTAATCGCAGCTTCTTATTGTACCCTGTGTCCTCAACAAATCTGGTTGTTTTTAATATAATTTTGTTGATATGCTAACTATTCGTATTATCCATACCCTCGTGTATTTATTATTCTTATTACCTTATAAAAATCCGTGTAAAATCCATGTAAAGTTCCTTTAAATGAACCCAACAGCTACCTAATTTTTTTGTACAACCTGTATATCTACTCCTTAATCGTAACTTCTTAATAAGTCTGGTAATGTCTTTAATAAATCTGGTCGTTCTTTAACAATTCTTTGTTGTTTTTGTGCAAAACAAATCTAATAATAGCAACTGTACTAATCAATTTTTGCTTGCATAATTTATCCAAATTATCATATCATTGAAATACTTGAAAATTAATGTACTGTGTTTAGCATTTGAGGTAAATAACTACCTAAGTGATTGCATAATGCGAACTATTTTGAAATTTCTACAAATGCCTTTAACGTGTACATTGTTTAGTTCAGAATTGCTGTAAAAATTGAACGTAGGTATATAAATAGTAAATACAAGGTCTGGTAATATATTAATTGTTAATTTCCGATCGATTCGAAATCGAGAACGTGGGATTTATGTAACTAAAATAAATAAACACTCGCCTTGGAATCATCGAGAATAAAAAATCGTTATCGAAGTTTCCAAAAACACAAACACTCCAAAATAATATTATCGAATCCATTTTTAATAAAATACAATAATTCAGCGGTTTTTGCTGTAAACAACTTGTAATCGAATTATTGCTCGATATTAAACCGTTTATGTAATACGATTTTCAGAAAAAAATAAAGAAAGAAGAGGCTTTTTCGAGACTGAACTTGGCCAAAATCAACCAAAACTGGCACCAAATACTCCGCAAGATAAAATGCAAGGAAATGAAAGAAAACGTAAAAGTAAGAATCCCGCTTACTCCAACACACCCTGTATACAACACCACACTTTCCACAGAACCTAAAAGAGTGGATAGAGCGTCTCATAGACTACAAAAACCGCACCATCAGGAACCTCACGAAGCACCTCGAAGAAATCGAAGAGGACTACCTCAACAACTACAACACTCACATGAAGCACGTGGAAAACATGCTGAAGGACCAGTTCGAGTACGTCCGAACGTTGCAAGACCAGTACCAAAAGGACGTCTCTAATCTACTGGCCTCTTCCCGAAAGGAATGGGACGAGCTACGCGCCAACGCCGAGGAGGACGAGAACTTCCTCAAAACCGTCCTCTATCGACAACACATCGACGAAACCGCCATGAGAAAGGAACTGGACGAGTACCGGGTCAGGTACTACGAGACCAAAAACGAGGTAAATAATTTAACAACACGTAAAATGCTCGCGATATTTATTTATAGAATACAGTATACGGTAAGTTTATAACCTCCTGCAGCGTTGGGATTTAGAATGGTAGAGCTCCTGCCGGCCAATCGGCGCAATTCGATTTCCCTTTATCCGCCAGACATTTCACCAATTTGTTCGAATAGCCGCACAAGTCCAAATTGTTAGCTGCGAATTCATCAAAACTGTTACCAAAAGTAGCAGAAACAACAAAGAATTTCTTTTAAAGGGGATATCTCTAGCAGGAGCAAGGGAGTTACCTCACTCGAAGCTACTCCAGCTCTTTCTGGTGCTAATAGACTAGCTTCTGGAGCAGTCTTTGTTTAACAAATTCTTTACCTTCGTTATTCATCAAAACAGTTTCATAAAGTAGCAGGAAAAAGGGAGTTATCATACTTAAAGCTCCTTCTGGTGCTAATAGACTCGCTTCTGGAGCAGAGTCTTTGTTTAGCAAATTCTTTACCTTCGTTAACCGCTTGATAGCATTCGTCGATAGAGTCCTGCAGGAAATTGTAGAGCTCCCGTTGGTTGACGCCTCTGAGTAGTCCTTCGGTGATCTTGGAATGGTCCGGCAAATTGTTCACGTCGACCTTAAAATAATTCGATTGGTACATTAGATTTTTGTGGATGGTTTTTTTTTTACCAGTTCCATTTGCGCCAGGACGCAATGCACGACGCATTCCTCCGAGGAATTCGTCGATGTGGGATTCGCTGTGGTCGTTTCCTCCGTTGAAGAGGATTTGGTGGAGTTATCGTCGCGTTTGTGCCTCGCTTTCGAGTCTAGAAATTCATTCTGATGGTTAATTTTGATGGTAAGGTGATGGTTGATTACCTGTTTGGACTGTTTCGACCTCTGCGGAGGCGGCTTTTCCCGGTCCGATGGTCATTTCCCACAGTTTTTCGGCGCTTTCGCTGTTTTTCATGCAAGCGCTGAGGGCTTGCTTGATTTGGTCGCCGTTGTTATGCGCAATGTCGCATTTTAAAGCCTAAAATTATTAAAAACGATCTAAAAAATGTGGCCATCCTGTGTATATTTTACAGGAAGTATTAAAACGCATATTACAAAATATTGCGCGTTATTATTTATAGACATTTTTTTTAATATTCCGCCGAGATAACACCGAAAGCATTGTTTTGTTGATAAGCAAATAAGATGTTTAAATAGAACAAACGTTTATCAATTTTAAACAAAAAAATTCTTTAAATACAAAACACTTACCGTAAGTACCCCCAAATGAACTATACAGCAGAAAAACATAAACAGTACGACCCTCATGTTGCGAAACTCCGCAAATTAATCAACGAATAAGGACGCGGGGATGATCCTTTTTATAGTTCGTTATAGAAAAACAATTTACAAATTATAGGAAGTATGGTGAATTATCATCTGGCGAACAATGAATAATAGAAAAACGCACGTAAAAAAGTAATTTGTCAATCAATTCAGACGAACTTGATATTGATACATCCGGGACGCTCAAGTTGTTTATACAGGGCGTCCCTCCTCGAACACCACCCCTTGATATCGGACATACAGATTGTTTTCTCGAAGATTTCGATTTGATTTCAGTTCGAATCGGCCATGCGGGACTTGAGGGAATCCCACGAGAAACGTTGCTCGGCCATGTGGAGGGAAATAGAAGATCAAATTACTCGATATGTCGAACAAATCGAAGCAAAAAGGACGGGGTACGATGAATTATTGAGGGCGGACATCGAAGATGCCGAGGAAATTAGAGAAAACGAGGAACATATAAGGCAAATAAAGGTATCAGCACACAGCACATGTATTGGTAACGCTTTCTTTTAATACTATAATGTTTTAGAGAGAAAATAATAGCATAAAACAATCCATCGACCATCTCAAAACATCCCGAAACTCCAAACTTACATCGCTAATCTCGGAATTGGAGGAAACCAAGAAAATACATTTCGAAATGCGCGAGGTTCTCAAAAAAGACTTGGAAAACGATCGCAGAAAACTGGCCGTCCTGTCGGAATCCTCCAAACAAACCATCGAGTACCTGAAAAACGTGCTGAGAAGAGGCCAGAGCATGATGAATTTGGCGCAGAATTGCGACAAATACGAAACCGAAAAGGAGAAACTGATGCGTTGGGTCTCCTTTACTCAAGCTAATAGACAAGAAGACGAAGATAACGATGGTAAAATACTCTGGTAGAAGTTTATGAAATCTAGTGATACACTTCGTACAATCCAAGAAGCTTTTTTAAGCTACGTTTTGGACCAATTCAACTTTCTTTTCCAGCCGTCCCAGCATCTGAATCGCCCTCCAAAACCCCGCCGAACAGAGACCCGGAGATCGACCTCACGTCCGTTCGAAACGTCGTTTTCAACGACAAACAACCGGCCGAAACTCCATCGCCGGAGGAGCCCGGGCGAGCCGGGAGCTTCCTGGACGATTGCGCGAGGAGTCTGGAGCCGATGGAGCGCTTCTGGTCGAGTTGCAGCCGCGCCGAGGCGGACTGCGTCGAATTGAAAGAGGAGAAACGCGCGCTGGAGGCGGAGAACAAGCAGCTGCGCGACATGATGGGGGCCGTGCTGGAGGCGGCGGCTTTGGCGAGGAGTACCATACCGAACAGCAGGGTGTCCACCAGAGTACCGTCGAGGAAGATCAGCGCTTGTTCGGCGACTGCTAAGAGAGCTGGAGTGATGTAAGTATATAAAAGTAGATACGAATGGTGTAGGTGAAGCTTGCGAAATTAAAAAAAAATGTAGCTTGCAGTATTATATTTGTAACGTGTGGTAATTTATAAATAATTTTCCGTTAAAGGACTAAGTTTGAATATTTCCCGCCAAAAGTTCACCCTTTCTTCCTCGGGTTTCTTCAACGGTGTCAATGTTTCACCGATATCCAAGTAGTTCTGTTCGATTTCTTCGAAAGGCTTCCAAGTGACATTTAAACTACTCCCTTCGGGCGTGGGGTTGCCGTATCGCGCGAAATCCGTCCACAGCTTCACGAAGCTCCTCATAGCTTTCTCCTCCACCGGTCCGATTTCCACGGAATCTTTTCCCAATATTGTAGTGAACAAATAGCCAATATCGTCGCCGTGGCAAGCTCCTGCAAGGAAAATATTCGATAAAACCACGTCCGAATACCAACCGGACATAATATACAACCTGGCTCATCTAGTTTCGTGAATTTCTTGAATACATTTAGACCGGCATCGATGGACATCCTGTAGAGATACACCGGCTGGCCCGACGTTCTCGCGTGGTGAATCGACGATGCGAAGATCCCAGCGAAGAAAATGTGATCTGTTAGTATCTGCAAGAACATCACCGGTAAGTCAAATTCTCGCTAATACACCAATCGATGCTGACAATTTTTTTTACGATAAGTACGAGCTTGTATTTACCATGACTTTGTCCTTGGCGTTGTCGCCTTGGAAATAGAACTCGGCGTATTTCTTCGCGATGATTTCCCTCTTGGGATCGTCCTTGTCGAGGCCCATATGCGGATGTACGAGCGACTCCAAACTCATAAGAGAACCGGATTCGGATTTGTGTCCCAAGTTTTCTCGCATCTTTTTGAGCGCTTCGAATAGCAACCCGTCGCGGTCTGTGTAGCCCAGTAGAATGGGCACTTTGTTGTAGGAACCATTAGTTATTAATTCAACCGGTGGGGAGGTTACGAACGCGGTATCGTTGGGGTATTCTACAGTTGGTCCTACTATGCCCAAACCACCGCCTCTAGACTAAAATAAATGCGATTAAAATCGGGGTTAAACGAGAAATTGCAGGGCTTACTTGCAAGAATTTCTCTTGGTACAAGAATAAATCGTTAGCGGGTAAATTTGTGAGGACCTCCAAGGCTTCTTTTTCGTCAGCGACATCCTCTTTTACCAGTCGGGCGAATTCGAGACCGACGTCCTGCGAGTAAGGCCAAGGATTGTGCAAAGAACCGCTTTGCATGATAGCTCTGTGGAAAAGCCCTTCGGAAGAAGGAGATACCACTTGGTAATGCACGCTGGCGCTTCCGGCGCTTTCGCCGAATATCGTCACATTGTCAGGATCGCCGTTGAAGTGTTTTATATTTTTTTGAACCCACTTGAGGGCCAGCTGTTGGTCTTTGAGTCCCGCGTTACCGGGCACATCCAGCCATTGATCGTTTAAATGGAGAAAACCCAAAAATCCTAATCGATAATTCATTGCTACTATCACTACGTCTTCCGTTATCAAATACTCCGGGCCGTATACGATGGATTTGTTGCTTCCATTGATGAATCCTCCACCGTATATCCAGACCATCACCGGCTTTAATTTTTCCTCTTCGGAAGGTAACTGAAATCAGTTGGTGATGTAGAGTTATCGGAGGAAAATATTGTTCTAGATGATGTTAAATATGATGTTAGTAAAAAGGTTTTTTTTTTCGTTTGTTGGAAGTTAAATGAGATACTTACTGTTTTGGTATAAACGTTCAAATATAAACAATCTTCAGAACCTTCCAAGGCCAATATAGATTCGACTCGTTGGTAAGAAGGAGTTGCATCTTCGGTGGCGTCTTTGATATCGTCCCATGGTTCAACAGGTTGAGGAGCCTGTTCAAAGAATATTACAATATTTAAATTTTTTGAGATTCTTTTCGTGTTTAAAAGATAACTGATTGCGATAATCAGCAGGTAAAATGTGAACAATTAAGCAATAAATAAGCACTTATCTTGAACAATTTTAATTCGTAGGTTATTAAATAGTTTACCGATTTGAAGCAAACATTAAAACAAACTAAAAATAGTTATAATTCCACATTAAAAATACTCTTAAACTACTCACTTTAAACCTGAGATCTCCAATGGGTGGTTTAGCGTAGGGCACCCCTAAGAACGAATAAAACTCCCCGCCGTCGTAATCTTTGCTCAGTTTCCCTCGAATTTTCCCATCGTTAATCGCCACCACCGGAGAATCCATCGCTACAACTCCCGACTGCTGACTGTTGTCACCAGATAAAAAAATACAAGCCGAATCACAAGCCGGTAATCATCGAATTTAGGAACCTTCGCTATAAACGCGATATCATAATTATTTTTATGATAGAATCTCGCATGCGTAATGAATGGGACGGACAAATCGAGGTCGATGTCAAAAGAAGTTTTTTTGTAGTAGGTAAATAGGTATTTTAGTTAGATTACAGAAATAGCCTGGCTTATAATAATTATATGGTGATTAGATGATATTAAAGAAAGGTTTGTTATTAGGGTTCCGAAAGTAATAAATTTATTGAAAAAATCAATTTTAGTGACGTTAGTATTCTAATAGGACGAATTTATTATTGATAGTATAACGAGGAAAAAGTGTTTTTTATTTTAATTTCGGAATCTTACAATAGGTTTAACTTCATGTAAGTTATAAATAATTTTCAGTTGAAGGGCTGAGTTTGAATATTTCCCTCCAAAAGTTCACCCTTTCTTCCTCGGGTTTCTTCAACAGAGTCAACGTTTTGTCAATGTCCAAATAGTTCTGTTCAATTTCTTCGAAAGGCTTCCAAGTGACATTTAAACTACTCCCTTCGGGCGTGGGGTTACCGTATCGCGCGAAATTCGTCCACATTTCCACGAAACTCCTCATAGCCTTTTCCTCTACAGGTCCGAGTTCTTGAGGTTCGGCACCAGTAAAAGATTTTAGCAAATAACCGAGATCATCAGCATGACAAGCTCCTTTAAAAAAAACCTTTAGTTAACATACCACGCTCTAATAAACCCTAACGCAAAATACAACCTGGTTCATCCATTTTCATGAATAACTTGAATGTGTTCAAACCGGCATCGAGGGACATCCTGTAGAGATATACCGGCTGTCCCGACGTTCTCGCGTGATGCACGGACGATGCGAAAATCCCAGCGAAGAAGTACAAATCTGTTAGTAACTGGAGAAAAAAATATAATCGGTAACATTTTACCTGCACAGCTTTTCTGAGCTTTTGTTTACCATAACTTTATCCTTGGCGTTTTCTCCTTGGAAATAGAACTCGGCGTATTTTTTCGCGATGATTTTCCTCTTGGGATCGTCTTTCTTCAAGCCCATGTGCGGATGTACTAACGATTCCAAGTTCATATTCGAACTGGATTCTTCCATTATTTCGGTTTTTCCACTGATCCTTTTAAGTGCCTCGAATAACAACCCTTCGCGATTCGTATAACCCAATAGAATTGGTACTTTATTGTACCTACCACTGGCTATTATTTGAGCAGGTGGGGAGGTTATGAACGCGGTTTCATTGGGGTATTCTACCGTGGGTCCTACTATACCCAAATCGCCGCCTCTGGACTGAATTAAAATCCAATTAAACTCATTGTTAACCGCTAAATGGAGCAATTACCTCTATAAATTTGCGTTGGTACGAATGTAACTCGGCGACTGGTAAACTCCTTAGGACCTCCAGAGCTTCTTTTTCGTCTATAACATCATCTTTTGCGAGTCTGGCGAGTTCCAGGCCGTCGTCTCGGCAATAGGGCCAAGGATTGTGCAAAGAACCACTCTGCATGATGGCTCTGTGGAAAAGTCCTTCGGAAGAAGGAGATACCACTTGGTAATGCACGCTGGCGCTTCCGGCGCTTTCGCCGAATATCGTCACATTGTCAGGATCGCCGTTGAAGTGTTTTATATTTCTTTGGACCCACTTGAGGGCCAGCTGTTGGTCTTTGAGGCCCGCGTTACCGGGCACGTCCAGCGACGGGTCGTTCAAGTGGAGGAAGCCCAGGAATCCTATTCGGTAGTTCATCGCCACCATCACCACGTCTTTGGTTATTAAATAGTCCGGGGCGTACATGGTAGAGGCGTTGGTGCCGTAGATGAAGGCGCCACCGTAGAACCATACCATGACAGGTTTCAGTTTTTGTTCTTCGGATGGTAACTAAAGACAAATTGATTCTGAGGAAGTCAAGCAGAAAACCTAGTAGATTCATATAAAATTGGAGGCGAAGAAACTGTGATTACTGTACAGTGAACGATGTTTCAGAAGAAGATAATGGTGAAGAATTGTGATGATGAAGAAGACATTGTTATTATTAATATTGGTAATTAAATGGCGTATGAAAATACTTACTGTTTTGGTATAAACGTTCAAATATAAGCAATCTTCGGAACCAGCAGAAATTCCTGGCGCTGGTGCGAATTGTTGATAACAAGGATCTGCGTCCTTTGTGGCATCTTTGACATCTTCCCAACTTTCAACGGGTTGAGGAGCCTATTCGAAGGATAAATCAACATTTTTATTACTCAGATTGTCTGGATTTTAAATGTCCTGTATAAATAAATATGTAGAAAAATGATTCTAGAATTATCTCGCTGATAAACCTTATTTTCGGCATCATAAATACCGAAGGTTGACAATTTCGAGAGATTTAAGTAACAAGTAAACAAACACTTATCTTGAATAGTTTTTATACCTTCAGCGATTAAGAATACGTTACCACTTTAGATATAATTGGAGACAATTAGATATAATTCCATCACAAATAATGTTGCATAACTCACTTTAAATCTAAGTTCTCCTATGGGAGGTTTGCCAAAAGGAACTCCTAAAAACGAATAGAATTTTCCACCATCGTGGTCCTTGCTCAATTTTCCTCGAATTTTCCCTTCATTAATCGCCACAATCGGAGAATCCATCGTTATACTGCGCATTCAACAGGTACTAATTTCACAACAGTATTAGATCATTTATTTTATACGATTTTTTCGTATATTTTTATCGCGATAAACAAATTAGTCTCTAAATTACACATAAGAGTACAGTTTAAAGAGTAATGTGTGATAGAAAATTACATTATTTTGGAGTTTTATTATTAAAACACAAAATTTAATTAATAATTATAGATTAAAATAAACTTGTATTTTTTATGTTAGAAGAATTAGCTTGGTATTTTTATAACTTGTTTAAGTATTTAATTCTTCCAACTATTCGCAAAAATTACAAACATGCTTAATGTACTTACTATTTTGATTAGATAATCTTGCTATGCAAATGTAAAAAATTCATCAAGGTCAAAAAAACAAATTTTTATACACAGCATTTACGGAATTAATATGCACACTAAAAAACCTGATTTTTCGCTCAGAACAATAATTTCCACGACTTTGTAACTAATCAGCTTTATTCCTTAACAAATTCATTCTATAAAATTTTCCGTAAAAGGGCTAAGCTTGAAAATATCCCTCCAAAACTTCACCCTTTCCGCTTCAGGGTTGCTCAGCGGCGTTAGCGTTTCGTTAATATCCAAATAATCGATTTCCTTTCCACCGATCGGTTTCCAAGTAACATTCAAACTGTTCCCATCGGGTGTGGGATTCCCGCATCGCGCGAAATTCGTCCACAACTTCACGAACGTCCTCATGGCTTTCTCCTCCACCGGGCCCTTCTTCAGAAACTCCTCCGCCATGGACATGCGGAATAGATAACCGAGGTCATCGGCGTGGCAAGCACCTGGAAATCACCATCACGTTACTCTCAATTTAACTGGATAAAATGCAGGAATTCACCAGGCTCGTTTAGCTTGGACATTTTCTTGAACACGTTCAAGCCGGTGTCCAGGGACATCCTGTAGAGGAACACGGGCTGCGTGGAGGTTTTGGCGTGTTGCGTCGCCGATGCGATTATCCCGGCGAAAAATATGTAATCTGTTAAAAGCTGTAAAGGCGACTTCATTGATCAACTCCTTCGAATCTTCGCGTCTACTCACCATGACTTTGTCTTTGGCGTTCTCCCCTTGGAAGTAGAATTCCGCGTACTTCTTAGTTATGAGCTGTCTCTTGGGATCGTCAGGTTTCAAGTTGAGGAACGGGTAGATGAGCGATTCCAGTCCCATCTCGGGCGGCGGGTCCTTTCCGAAGGCTTTCCTGATGTTCTTCGCGGCCTCGAACAGCAACCCTTCGCGATTTGTGTAGCCCAACATAATGGGTACTTTGTTGTACTTCCCGCTGGCTATTAGTTGGGTAGCCGGGGCTGTTATGAAAGCGGTTTCGTTGGGGTATTCTATAGTGGGCGCGCATATACCAAATGTACCTTTAACCTGGTAAAAAAAGCTTTGTTGTTTTGTATATTTTTTGAGTGTAGGTAGCTTACTTCTATGTATTGCTCTTGGTGTAAATAAAGATCTTCGACTGGTAAACTTTTTAATACCTCCAGCGCTTCTTTTTCGTCTTTCACGCCTGGTTTGATAGTTCTGGTGAATTCGATAGCGATATCCTGGGAGTAAGGCCAAGGGTCGTGCAAAGAACCACTCTGCATGATAGCTCTGTGGAAAAGACCTTTAGACGACGGGGAAACCACTTGGTAATGCACGCTGGCGCTGCCGGCGCTTTCGCCGAATATCGTCACGTTATCAGGATCGCCGTTGAAGTGTTTTATGTTTCTCTGGATCCACTTAAGGCCCAGTTGTTGGTCTTTGAGGCCCGCGTTACCGGGCACGTCCAGCGACGGGTCGTTCAAGTGGAGGAAGCCCAGGAATCCTATTCGGTAATTAATCGCGACCACTACCACGTCTTCGGTGATCAAATACTCCGGGCCGTAGAGCGAGGACCTGTTGTTGCCGTGGAGGAAGGCTCCTCCGTAGATCCACGCCATCACCGGCTTTAGTTTTTGCTCTTCTGAAGGTAGCTGGAATTTATTTTGGTAGCTTAGAAGAGAGGAAGTTACTAAAGGAGCTGGAGTGAAACAAAACTATTAATGAAGATAGTCGTGATGAATTGCTATGAGATCCGAATGGGATGTGTAGGTGAGAGTACTTTTTGATGGCATCAAACTCACTGTTTTGGTGTAGATGTTCAAATGTAGGCAGTTCTCTTCGGATCCTTCGAGGACGTTGGTGAATTCCGTTCTTTGATAGCAAGGATCTCCATCTTTGGTGGCGTCTTTGATGCCATTCCACGGGTCAATTGGTTGAGGAGCCTGTTGGATTGTAATAATTTATTACATATTAAACTTCTCAATACACACCACTAATCGCACTAATTGTTATTAAACAAACAGATTAGATACTCGAACGCATTCTTTATTACACTCTCTATAGAGATAATTTATTTAAACTATCTCGCTGTTACCAAGCAAAACTGAATATAGGTTAGTACAAAGTACTTACTTTAAATCTCAATTCTCCAACGGGCGGTTTGGCGTAAGGCACCCCCAAAAACGAGTAAAATTTACCACCGTCGCAATCTTCGCTCAGTTTTCCCCGGATTTTACCATCGCTAGTTGCTACTACTGGCGAATCCATCGCTGTGACGCGTCGAGTTTACGATGAAATTTAGTTATTCAATCGGGCGTTCTTAATGAAAACGGCGCTCTCTCGTCGTCATCGAATTGGAAATAACCTTCGACGCTTGTGCACAAACTCAATACACTGATTGACTATCTGTGTAGATAAAGCGATGGACAGACACGTAGAAAGCAAGTTAGGATGATAATAGATAAGCGGAATGTTTGATAGATAAAGTGTAATGTAGGGAAAATTTGGTAATATTTTTTCTACTGATCAACTATAAATAACTTAATTTAACAACAACTGCAATTAGTCATTTTATTATTATCGGTAGTTCACAAAGTTCAAAAAGTATCGAATGGTTTGACGGCTAATTTTTCGTACACGTCCACCCATCCATCGTGAACGTCCTTTTTGAGGTCCTTTTTGATCGTAAGGGTTTCGTTGATGTCCAGATATTGGAAATTGTTGGGTTCCAGTTTAGGCCAGGATTCGATTCCCAAAATATCGGTTCCATCATGTACTGGATCGCTAAAATCGCACAAAAGTAACCAAAAAAAGAATACTGGATCTAGTATAATTCTATATCCTGAAATCTAGTGAATTTGAATCCTGAAACTACTCTAATTCTATCGTTCAGAAAATCTCTAAATTCTATTAAATTTGGCAACACCATTTTTACAAAATTACTTACAGATATTTGGCGAAATTGCTGAATAGAATCCTCAATCTTTCACTAGTTAATATATCTCCAGGTGGCATTTGGTTCAAATTAGAATTATTATGGTACACCCACAGGTAGGAATTGTCATCAGAATGGGCCACCCGATTCGCCTCTACAATACTATTATTTTACCAGGAAATTTATTTATATAATTCATTTATACCTGGAACGTAAGGATGCTGCCCAGGCATGCTCCCTATATAGGAAAATTGGTAGAAATATACATCGCTGAATTTCGATTGCACCTTTGCATGGTGAATTATCCCTCGCCCGAACGAATTATCGCTGAAAAACTACAAGAAAATTGTATTTATCCTGCTCATAAATTATTTAAAAAATCATTTGTACTTGTACTAATTTTCCGGGATGCTCGTAGAAAGAGGTATTAGTGTAGATCCTTCTAATAGCAGCTCCTGCTTCCTTCCTGCTGGAATCGTCGGTTAAGCCCATGTTGTCGTTCACTAAATAGGTGAGATTGTTGTCTATGGCTTGCGCCCAGCTGCTAAAACTCTCCATATCTACAAATAAATGATTGCGTACAAAATTGAATGATCAATCTGCGACTTACCGGAGAAATTCCATATTAATTCCTCGGAGCATATGCCGATCATAAGAGGCACCTTCTGCATATGACCGCTTTCTAAGGCCTCGTACATTCTTTCTGTTATGAAGGCATTTTCGTGCTCGGGCTCGATGGTAGGAGTGAAAGTGAACCCTTGGGCCATTTGATTGTCGTACCAAATTTGCTGGATTAAAATCATTATTACCACTTAAACTAGAGAGTAAAGTTTACCCACCGGATAATCACCAGCAGCCGCGCTGTTGAGATCTCTAGCAGGAACGCTTTGCAAGTAACTCAGCAACTCTTCGGAGCTGCTCTCGCGATTGAAATTCGGATTCACGAAAGACGCCAAATCATAAGCGAGGTCCTTGTGGTGCCTCTGGTACCCCCAAGGGCAAAGCACCGAACCGCTTTGGGATATACCAGCTCTGAACAAACCTTTGGATTTGCTGCTCATCATCTGGTAGGTCACGGAATCTCCTCCGGCGCTCTGGCCGAAGATCGTGACTTTAGCAGGATCGCCGCCGAAGTATTTGATGTTATCCCGCACCCACTTCAAACCCAACAGCTGGTCCTTCAGGCCGTAGTTGCCGGGAATCACCAAGTCTCCGGTGGAGAGGAAACCTACGAGCATCCAATCGATATGGCGTGGAACTATTTTCCAAGTGGAAGAGTGTTAATAAATTTATAAGGGTATACCGAATGGTCCGACTCTGTAACTGACTGTAACCACCACGACTTCTTGTTCCATCCAATAATGGGGGCCGTAAATGTCGAAGTGAGAGGTGCCGTTGACGAAACCTCCGCCGAATATGTAGAACATCACCGGTAGGGATTGGTTTGTAGACGGTTCCTTTGAGGAATTAGATGTGGAAATATTGCGTTGTTGCGGTGAAATTGTTCACTTACCACCGGAGTGTAGACGTTCAAATACAGGCAATCTTCGTTTTCTAAAGATACGCCGGGCGATTTGATTTGTTGGTAGCATATTCTGTCGTTTTTCGTCGCGTCTAGTACACCGCTCCAGCTTTTAGCCGGTACGGGATCCTTAAAAAGAAGGATATAATGAATTATAGTTCGTTCGCCATCAGGAGATGGCAATAAATTCTCCTTGAAGCAGTAAATTCAACAAATAACTCATTTGAACTCGCATTATCGACCACTTGAGATCACTAGAAATGTGTTATACTCCGTTCGCCATCAGGAGATACTAATAAAACATTTTTGAAGCAATAAATTTAACAAATAACTCATTTAAACTCGTATTTTTCAACACTTAAGATCACTAGAAATGTGTTATACTCCGTTCGTCATCAGGAGATAGTTCTAGAACCTTATTAAAGCAGTAAATTCAACAAACAACTCATTAGCACTCGCATTATCCATCACTTAAGATCACAAAAAATGTGTTTATACTCCGTTCGACATCGGTGACTGGAGTATAAATACTAACAAGTTACTTACCCTGAACCTTAGCGGTCCTATCGGGGGTTCCGCGAAGGGGATTTGTTGGAAAGCGAAGAATTTGATGCCCCTTTGGGAGTACTCATGCCGGCCCTGTATAACCCCATTGGGAATAGTCACCCTCTGGGCGTTCTAAGTACGTGTGAATTAGATAAAAAAAATCTCTAATTATTTATTAATTGTGCTTACTGTTAGAGCAAAAACACCCAGCAGGCAGATAATGCACGTAGCACGAATCATGATGAAATAAATACACTTTAAAATTATCGGCTGATTATATCTGGAATTATCTTCAATTACATATTTAAATTACCCGTTTGATGGTCGAAAACAATTTTGTATTTTCCAATTTCAAAAGGGAAATGAGGCGACGAAATAAAAATAAATAAACGTTAGTGATTTCATTTTATTTTCAATAGCAAATTATTCATTTGTACGATTAAAAAACAACAAATTGGCATACGCCGATTGTTTAAATTACGGTTACATTAACAGATTACAACTTTTCATATAAAATCAAACATATTTTCATCAACAACAAGGATATCTTCTCTTTTAATACACGATTGATGAACAACAAAGTTCGGAAAGTAACGGAAATATTTTTTTTTATTTTAATAATTACAATGTACTTTATAACGATTTCTCTATATTTCTTTATCTTTACGTAATTATACATTATGCGTATTCTTAATTAACGAAATAAAATCCTTCGCTCTATAATAGATTAAATAGGAGTAGAGGCAATTGCACCATCGATAACACGAATAAACAATCATAAAATGTCTTCGATGGTACTTCGTTTGTGAATAGGCCGCAAACGAAATGCCGAAATAGTACTATTAACAGCGTTAGCGGGAGTTTTCCAATACTAAAACAACTAAAAAAGCGAAAATAAAAAAGTCCAAATGTACGAATAAACTACCTTAAATAAAGTATACTTATTAATACGGAGTACAGCCATGTCAAGCAAAAATGGTGCGAAAGGGGATTGTCTCGTAAAATTATTTTATTTCTACAAACGATACGAATGAAATGAATGAGTTTATAACAATTTAAAAGTGCAAAAAAACAATCTATATACAGGGCGTTTCTGAAATAAGTGGTCAAACTGTGGGAGCAAGTTGAGAACCTCAAAATGTCAAGTTTTTGAAACAATTCATTCCTACTAGATTATTAAAGACAATAATTTTGTGTATCGGAGTTTTAAAAGTCATTTTTCGTGAAAACGGTTCACTTGTTTCACAAACACCCTGTATAACACTTATATAAATGCAATTTGCAATGCAACTATTTTCATTGGAATAACGAATAAACACGATCGTAGAGTCACAGGTACGCTTGTTTTTTTTGTTTCAGGTAAACCGATTTATTCGATAAATATAGTCTATTTAGAAACAGATTATTTTTCTCTATAAAATCAAAATTTTGGTTACAAATTATAAAAACCATTAGGTATAAGTGTACACAACAGAAACCTTCGAAAATTGCTTAGAAACCTACAAGTAAATGAGTAGAGAAGTGTATAATTAGTTCTCTAAATGTTCACGTATTAGGAAATATTCACCTTCTCGAATGCGTTGAGGATTATAAAACCGGTAAAAAATGCCAAGTCCACGCGCTTTAATTGAGCTTTCCCATCTAATAAAGATGTTTGCGTGGACTTCCCATTCATTAATCGATCATCTACACTACCAGTAGTAGTATTAATTGCTTTTACATACGCAGAAACGTTACTTCCTGCAATACAGGGTGTCCCAAATTAAAGTAGCCCCTTTAGCGAGTTAAACGTCTATTATAAGCTCATTAAATGGGCTACTTTTCATTGGGACACGCTGTATAACGATTTGATTTTCGACCTAATTTTTACGTAACTCGCTTATAATAGACTTCAGCAAAGCTCTATTTTTGATTATACACGGCGTTTCGAACGCCCTTCGAAACCCCCTTCATGTATAAATTCGACGTAGCAGAGTTTCTTTCGCGGAATATAAACTATTCATGTCGCCGATCAAGTCACCTCGGCCCCCGGTCAATTCGTAAACACTAAATCTAGATACCTTAATATTTACTTGTCAAGGTAACAATTACGTTTAGATTAATACGGGGGATTAACTCGATCTAGCGCATCTCGTAGGTACTCACAAAAGGTGTGTAGGTACTAATATACTGTAGGTACTTATTATTTTGCTTAGTTGGCACACAACTCATTTTTTTTTAGCACTAGATGAAAAATATATTGCGACTTATCACCTCGGGGGAAAATGTTTAACGTTAGATTCGGATTCATTCTCGAACGTCCACAGGTTATCTCGTCACCGGCTGGAAGTATCTGATACCGTTGATCTGAAACGAAAAAAAAATTAAAAATAACTCATTAAATAAAGAGCTATCGAGGATTGCCCGATCTCCTACAATCCCATAAAAATCGATTTGTGACGTCGGCAGATACGCAATCCTCGATGCGGCCTCTTACGTATGCGGCTATTAAATACTCACAGTCATGTCGTATTCGGTAATGAAAGCCGGTATTTCGAGCTGGTCCGGCGACATGACGGCGTAGAGATATTCCACGCCCTGCAAACTGTGGACCTTCTGTTTTATTGCCGGCGCCATGAACGTCGTGAACCACCACGTCATCATCTGTAAAATGCAGTTTTTTCCGTGAAAGAAACTCGCTTTGAGCGAAATGTCAATGTCAAAGAAACGTCAAATGTCAAATCACTGACCGATAACAAATTATACTCCGATTTGTATGTCTAGAAATGACATCGAATTAATTCATTTGAACTTTCATTATACATCACTAGAAATGCATTATACTCCGTTCGGCATCAGGAGATAGTTATAAAACCTTTTTGAATCGGTAAATTCAACAAATAAATCATTAGAAACTGGATTTAACATGGTCGCCAACTTGATATTAGCAAAAGTTTTTCTTTACCTTGGTCCAAAACGTGGGATGTATAACGTAGAAAGCTTTCAAGTTCTTCTTGTATTTGTACGGTAGAACGTTGTAGACCTCCTTCAACCAAGAGAACGATGGGTAATTGTTGCTCGACGTCAACGTATGGAAGTAGATTATCACGTAATCGCCTTTGACGATCGGATCCAACAGCGTGATAAGGTACAAAAGTGCCTAGAAAAGAAAAAAAATAATAAACAATATAAATATAGGAATTTCGGAAATACGGGTACGAAAATAACCGACCTACATTTTAAAATAGAACGAAAATATTATTACGAGGGATGTTTCCAAAGTTCTGGGAATCGCGCTCTAATTAAATTATGTTTATTTATACGGCTTGTAATAATTTTCTGATGTTTTCACGTCTTTTTTCCACGAAAATAATATTTTTGCTCAATCACCAAGACTTGCCAGTCACCAACAAGTTCTGCATAATTTAATTCAACTACGCGAGCTTTTGAAACATCCCTCGTATAACGCGATTAATTTTTTCTCGTATTACCATCGGAAAAAGTTCAATTTGCGCATAATTTAGGCGATATTTTAGGCACCAATTACGGCGATTAGTGCACAAATTGCGCTAACAGGACGGTTTGCGAAATGGCCGAGTACGTCGAAAAAAATTCTACTCACCTTATCTAAGTTGATTTTGTTGAAGGGAAACCATTTTCCGATAAATACAATGACAGGCCTGCCCAGCCTGTCGACGCCGCTTTGGTACAAACACCCTATGCCCGAGACTTCCGTCAAATCCTCGGTTTTGGCACGTCTCAACAGCCTCTCGTATCTGAAAAAAAAACCAACAAAAATTTATCTAATTTATTACAAATCTAGCGCAAAGTAGATTCCACAATGGGCACGATTACGCGAGCCTATCTTAGTATAAATACCATTAAAAACGATGGTGAAGAATCAGTAATATTAATTTCTTTAGCCAATTCTACAATGAGTGCATTACAATATTTTGTACACGACCCTAAGTACATAGTACTGATGAACAGTAAAATTAATTTGTTCAGCCAATTCGATATAAAAGCGTATGATTAGAATATAATTCGTATGAATTATGCCGTTTTTTAATTAATTTGTCGTATCTATTGAAATCCTTGGGAGAATTCTGTGTGCGTGTAATATTTTTGCAATAAGATTGTTTTGCGGAAAAATATTATTTACTTATTATTTTCCCGGCTATTAATTTACGTGATACGCAACAAATACTGTCTAGAGATGAAATAAGAAAGGTATTGAGAAAACGGTTTTTTTGATATTCTACAAATTCTGAGTTCAAAAAAATTATTCATCTATAATTGATTAATGATACTAAGTAATTATACTCTATCAAATTTTGTAAACGCTATTAAAATTTATTAAACACGATACTAATAAAAAAATCGTGTAGAATAGAACACGATTACAGATACACGAAAAATTCACCAATAAATCAACTTTACAGTATTTAAAATTAAATTCCAATACCTAAGGTCTTCGCTTTCGGCCTCTTCGGCAGGGGAAGCCGACCAGCCCAGCAAATTGGCCACGGTGTTGAACAAACCGGGCGAATCGGCGACCGTCTCCACCATATTTTTCAAACAAAACTCGCGGATTTTTCCCCGGAAAATTTCTATCGAGATCCCGACTAACCGGAGCGCGGCCTCGTCCTTCGCATGCGACAGTGATACATCAACTGCACGCTTTACTTTACGCGATTTCCTTTACACACACCTACACACGCTCTGTCGCGATTTTGCCGTACATATTTCCAAAAAAAACGTGGAAGCTTTATCGCTATCGCTTTCCAAACATTACGCGTATCTTTCTAAAAGTGAGTGTAATCCTAAAAAAAGTCGTGAAGTATGCATGCTATTATAATTAGAAAATATAATTTTTATGTATCGGAAATATCGCTGTAATTTTCATTGAGTCGAAGTAACGGTTATGTTATTTTTAGCAACGCCCACCTCTAGTGTAATGTAATTTTCCCTACCTAATGGACGTTTTTAACAGGCGTTAGAGGTGGAAGTTTACAAGTAACAGGTAATAAGAAAGGCTCAAAAGACTCACAATTATGCCATTATCAGAAGGATTTGATAATCATAAAATTAAAACTGAAAAAGCCTACATAATAAATATTTTTGACGTCAAATTAAATTATCCTGGTATGTAAACGAGATGGTTTTACGACGGTGCTATTTGAATTTATGCGAAACAGGCGATTAAAATCACATTGAGATGGCTTTAATTTGTTTGAACTTTTTCAATTTTTACGACGTACAACGTCCTCAAAAACTTGATCCCGGGCTAAGTAACTCAAATAACGCCGAACCAGAATCACAAAAGAAGTAATGCAACTACCGAACAAACACAATTTCGTCGTATAATTGTGTCACATCAAAATAAATAAACCGTTCTTATTACATTGTTCATTTATTTGTAAGATATTTTTTCAAACGAAGGATTAGTGCAGATAAGAATTCATTCGGAACAGATGCGACCATAGGACATTCGCGACCCTGTATAACCTAATTTGTCTTGAGCCTTGAGGTGGGTCATTTGCGACCCTTGACTCGGTTTATACTAAAAAAAAATCTTTACAAAAGTTGTAATGCAGTATATACAATAATTACTTAGCGCTGAAACAAAGGGAAGGCGAAACAAAAAGTCATTCCATCTGGGATACACTCGAATGAGAATCGATTTGGAAAAGTTCATAACGCTCTATAAATAGTACGCGCGCCATTGTAATCGCGCCTGCAGCATTTGAGACGATAAGGATACAAAAAAAAAATAAGCAAAAAAACAATCTCGACACCTGTTACTCAAACAATAGGTCGCATTTTATGGAGCAAATCTTGCCCTTACTCGGGGAAGTTACCCAGCTATCCGGCAACGTCGCGGATTTTTCCAAAAAAATATTTCATAATGAAAATGGAACGGGGGTTTGTCGGCTAAACGATTTTAGCGATATTTGCTCTAAAACAAAGTACCTGCCCGACGATAATAACGAAGTTAAGCGTGCATTTGGAAATACACCGGCTTCGAGCGAAGAGTACACAAACGCTTAACAGCATTACGCCCCGTTGTCATATATCGTCACATAGCGTTAATTCGATAAAGTAATAATTGCGTTATCTCCGCGAAAAGCCGTTTTGTATAGGGCTAAAAGGGCAGGTTTTGTTTACGACGTATTCCACGCGCTAATTGCTACAAAAAAATATCGTTTACTTAAAAGAAATAAAAGAATCGTTTACCTCGCTTTGCGCACCCAAGCGTAAAATGCAGTTTCGAAATTCATCCGCGTCGACGTCTTGTATTTCGACGCGATCTTGCATCCGTTCGAGTTTTCCTCGCACTTCATTTTCCGCGAAAATTTCTGGGAAAAAGATTGTCGCGTCGCCTTCCTCGATCAAACAACGAATTTATACTACCGCCTTTCGGCGTCGTTACCGGCCGATAAGACCACATCAGCCGCTTTGAATAAAATATGAATTTACGGTGGAAGTCCGAAAAATCGATGGGTGTAATTGTACCGTTCGAAAACCGTCGATTAAATGAATTGTAAAACGCAAAATGGAAGTTTTAAAATGGCGAATTTGGATCGGCTGTGCACCGTGGGTGTTGGTCTCGATAGCTGCGCAAGCTCGAGACCGTGTGTTTGATGAGATGTAACTAAAATGGGCGAAAAAGGGTTTAGTCCTGTAGAGTCCCGGAAAATTACCAAAAATTTGCTCAAAATCTGCTGTGAATCTTTAAATCTACTCTGAATCTATTCTGAATCTACTCTAAATCTACTCGAACTCTACTCTGAATATCCTTAAAATCTCCTCTGAATCTACTCCGAATGTACTCTGAATCTGCTCAAAATCTACTCTGAATCTCCGAATCTACTCTGAATCTCTTCAAAATCTACTTTTAATCTACTCTGAATCTACTCTAAATCTACTCTAAATCTTCCTCGAATCCTACTCTGAATCTGTTCAAAATCTACTCTCAATCTCTGAATTTACTATGAATCTGCTCCGAATCTACTCTGATTCTACTCCGAATCGAGCTCCGAATCTACTCGAACTCTACTTTGAATCTGTTCAAAATTTACTCTAAATCTATCATGAATTTACTCTGCATCTATGGTTACATGTAAATACAGATCTGTAACCTAGTTTTACCACGAAAAAAAAATGGCGGCAAATTTAAAATATCTGTTAATTTTGGGACACCCTATATTTTTCGTTTTGTATTTATTTTATTTATTTGTTGAGTAAATGTGCTTTGTTAGCGGGGCAATAATGATGTACTTTTTAGGTAAGGAAAAGGCGCAAATAATCCGTTCTATTCTTAAATGAGAAATACGTGACGTCTTTATATACTTTTTTTTACCTAAAAGACGTAAAGACATCGCGTTCTTTAATAAATATTCTACGAGTAAAAGCGTAGGAAGTTTGAGTGTATCTATAAATAGAAAAAAAGTAATATATTTCGCTTGTTTCCGGTCATTTTAATAAATTATGCACGATTTTTCGATACGAAATTTGTAAAATATTCAATCAAATTAACTTACGATTCGATAGACGATCGATTCTTCTCTCTTAGTAATCGTTTGAGTTTCGATAGCACTACGTTCATTTCGATTTTTTCATATGCATATGTTTACTTCTAGTGATTTAAACGGCAACTAAACGATCGAGATTGGTTTTAAATTGATCGAAAAGCGTTGTTCAATTGAACTTTGTTCTGTTAAAATAATTTTCTTCGGATATAAAAGCGCATGAGGGGGCGTTAAAAACACCGAATTTCGACTGATTGTTATGAAGGAATTTATTTTCATTGAACAAAATTTAAAAAGTTCAAAAAAAACGAATTTACAGAATAATGTAGTGATAATTATTAATTAATAGATACATAATTATCGTCGAGTTGCAAATTTCTGCAAAATGTTATTACCCCCTTTTAGAATGAAAATTCCAATTAACCAGAAAGTTTGCGATAGAAAAATGTCCTAATTTACAATACCATCGAATTGACAATAATGACATTTGACAATTGAAAATTCAAATTCCCATCAATTTAAATGTCAACGTACCTCACTCACCTCACTTTCCACAAAATACCACATCAAATTGACAATAATGACATTTGACAGTTGACAGTTGCAAATTCAAATCCCTATCCATTCAAACGACAACGAGCACTCACCTTTCCTGGTGTTGTATCTCTTTCACCATAATATCGGCCAAAGGATCGTTGTAGGATCGCTCGCCCAGCAACCTCTGCTGGTCGAGATCCCCTTGCATTTGGCTGAAAACATGATCTCCCACGTTTATGGAGGTCTCCAAATGCGACGAAAGCTCCACGGAGGACTCTTCATCGGCTGCAAACAAACCCGACAGGAATAAGTAAAATTCGATCGTCGCTGGTTTACTTACAGGAATCGAATTCGAAGGATTCGTTTATCATGCCGGACAATAAAGATATCATTTTTTTTTGGGTTGAAGAAATTTAAAAGCGTTACAAAAGATATGAATTGCGCGCGTGGGATTGATAAGGAAATAAATTGTATAGAGCTGTGGCGGTAGCGACATCTATGAATGAATTACGCGAAACGGTAAAGAAGCCTGTATTCGAGGTAAAAAATCGGAATTTTAATTAACTATTCTTCGACTAATTATGTAAATTTTACAGAAAATTGCATTCGTTGAAAATGCAGGGTGTTCATAAAGTAGGAGATATTTTAGATGGCGATTCCTTGTTAAAAAATATGAAAAATGTTCATATTTTCACATCACATCATCATTAAAAAATAAACCCCAAGTTCGAAAACACCCTGTATATAAATGTTAGGTAGCAGCCTAGCCATAACTGCCCCAACTCTACCCCCTTTCTACCCTCCCATAAAGCGCTAGAAAAATTGAAAATTCAACCACTAGGTGGCCGTAGAATATACAAATTCATCACGACTGATCTGCAGTCGAGCTTGCGCAGCGAACGAGGCCTCATTAACAGTCAATACAATAGAATCAAACGATACTTACGAGGCAAAATCATCTAAAAACTCTCGCTAAACAACGCACTCGAAACGAATTCAATCTATTTACATTCACCAACGTAGATTCTCTATTTTTTTGACCGATGGCCAATACGAATTCGTAAAAATAGCTCGGTAATTGGAAAAATTCAGACAACAACTTACGGTGCAACGCGTGCTGCGGATTGTCAATGATTCGTATTTGCCTTTCGGGCATGATTGGCTCGCCGTCGTGTCCCCCGACATCGGCGGGCAATTGATACCTGCGAACGAACGAAAGAAATTATTTTTAAATCGTCGTTTAATTATGCATATTTCGAGAATTAGTCGAATCAATTAGCGCGCATTACTCGCATTTCGGAGCGAGTTTTCTAATAGTATTTTGATGGTAACGGGTCGATTTGTTCGAGAACTATACTCCGTTCGCCATCAGGAGATAGTAGTAAGATCGAATGTTGTATACAGAAGACTTTACGAGTGGCTCAACGACTATTAAGAGTATAAAGAGTATAGCAGTGGAGAGTAGAGAGTAAAAAGTAGAGTACAGTAGGATAGAGTAGAGTGGGAGTAGATTCTAATTATAATCCCTATTAAGCCCAATATCCTAAATCAGTACTGTATATTACCGATAATTATTGCAGATAGTTGTTACTTTATCAAATTATTAATTCAATAGTGCCTACTATTGACATATTTAGATTCTAGGTTTAATGCTTCAAGAAGGTTTTATTAGTATCTCCTGATGGTGAACGGAGTATAACAAATTTCTAGTGATCTTAAGTGGTCGATAATTCGAGTTTAAATGAGTTATTTGTTGAATTTACTGCTTCAAGAAAGTTTTATTAGTATCTCCTGATGGCGAATGGAGTATAACATATTTCTACTGATTTTAAGTGGTCGATAACTCGAGTTCAAATGAGTTATTTCTTAAATTTAATGCTTCAATAACGTTTTATTAGAATCTCCTGATAGCGAACGGACTATAAATTACTAGTACTTAAGTACCTGTTGCGCAATCACTAACCAACCAATCAATCGTTGATCAGTAACAAACGATCTATTAATAGCTTATTTTTCCACAAACTCGCAATATCTAGGCCTTTAAAAAATGGCTGTATTTATTTACCTTGCCGATTCTTCCTCCAGCTTGGATCGCGGAAAATACAGCGGCAACAGAACTTCGTATATACCTAAATCTACTTTATCGACAACAAATATCACAGTGTCTAACGAACTGCAGTGATTTTCGAGGAAACGTCGCACAGTACCTGCAAAAATTAAATCACATATTACGACCGAGTATCGATCCTTACAAAATTTTATCGCTTATCAACAGCTTATCTGTGTGTCATTTAAATGGGTTTTTTTAGTACAATTACGATCGAAGGCGACTAATAACAACGAATAACACCGAATCGTTGAATTATTATGATTTACTCCTATAAGTACCTACTGCGCATACACGCAAATTCCATTATTATGTAGTAATGAATCAACGTTTAAATAATACTTAAGCATGTACGACTTACGCAGTGCAATATGAGCTCCTTCGTCTGGTGGATAGTTTCTTTTGACCGAATTAATAACTGGAATCGCCACGGAACGAAGGCCTATTTCATTGGCCTTTTGAAGAACGTTTCTGAAAAACAAACACAAACACTATTTGCGAAATTCCAGCGGAAATTACATTAGAGAAAACAGAACAGAAATAACGAAGGTCGTTTTCCAATAATCGCGATGAATTATTCAAGGTAATTTCGCATTGATGACATTACAAGTAAATCGAAATTAGATTAATGTTGCATTAGCGTATTACCTGTAACAAATATGCAAGGTATTCTCCGAAGCGGACTTGTACTTAATATTGTATTTGGGTCCTACGGTATGGATGATATACCGAGCGGGCAGTGCATGGCCTTGGGTCACCCGGACCTCTCCTGTTCGGCATTCTGAAAGAAAAATACCATTAAAACCCTCACCTAGAACACCAAACAACCTAGAGGATTGATAAATCCCATATGTAAACGTCGTGACGTCAGCCCGACATGCACTCGATCAAACCTTGTTAAAAGTCCTTGGCAAAAGCTCGTAAGATCTCTTACCTCTAACGTCCAGGTGGATTTCCTCTTTCAATTCGGAACCGGCCCGTAAAAAAATTCTATCGCTAATCGGATTGCTTTCTGTCATGGATTCGTTTGTCGAATTGACGACGGCGTCTGCTTGTAGAGAAGAAATATCACCTGTCCTGTGGAGCAAAATATTGCTTTATATCACCGCTGTATATCGCGGAATTCTCGCGATACTTGCCATAAGATAATTTTTTGATTGATGTCGGCATCGCAACGGAACGGAGAAGGCGTGTGTTTGATTTCCGAGATGGCGCTGTAGTCTGTGAAGTACTGGGAAGGTATCGTGTCGCCCCATCTGGTGAGCGAAAGTGGCAGTATTACGTCAGGAGCTACCCCTAGGGGTTCTTGATTCATTTTCAACCTCATTAAGGATGCCTGGAAATAGACCAAAGCTTGGTTAACCAGAAGCTCTCTTAGGACTAGAGAGTTTTCGATAACTATAATGATAAAGATTTTCTCTACCAAAACGAACTTATGCTCAATTATCCAGTTGTAGCTAGTTGATTTAAAATTAAACAGACCTATGCACGCTTGAAAGGGGTGTTTAAAACTCCATCGGTTGAATATTTCATTTACCGGAAATCGTTTCGACGCGGATGGGTTCGAGTGGGTTGTACCGGTCGATCGAACGTGGAAAAAAATACCTATTATATACGAAAATAGTAACAAATAAATTCACGAATTATTCACGTTTCCCGTCCTCGGCACTATTCATCGAGCAAACAACGATTATTAGAAAACGGAGCGCAATTTATTATCGCTAAAACAAGCGTCATTTATTATTTATTTCGTCATTTTTCTATTTTTGCGTTGTATGGAAGAGTGTAGAGTAGAGTGGAGTTGATTCAGAATAGATTCAGAGTGGAGTAGAGTTGAGTAAAATTGAATTGCTCCTGTAAAATCGCACATATCGTGCATAAGTTAGAATGTAAATGCGTTCTACTTTCAATTAAACGCGAAACAAACAGCTCAATTAGCGAGGCATTCGAGCGAATCGATACGTTAAGGAAACTTGCGGGGATTCCGTTGTGCAATTTCGCCCGTTTTCACTTTTAATTAATCGAATTATAATTCGTTTTCCATCGCTAAATAAACTAGAACTAGATATTCTATTCGTTAATGTAAAGTGCATTTATTACGCGACATTTCGTGCTAATGTGCGAATTATTTACATGAAAATCGACTATCCCTTCGTCGCCCGCTCACTTATTGTTACCGTGAGAACGATTTTCTGGACCATCAAATATTTAAAGGGGCTCGCTCCAATTCGCTCCGGCGAGCGTTTATTTTTGTACAACCCGTTGCATTTTAACGACGACTGACCTCGCCCGATTTTCCACCACGGAAAACACACAATACTATAATAATTTATCTACGAAATTCCAGTCGAATGTTATAAGACACTGCAACAACAAAATCCAATCGATACGATGCTCTTGCATTATTCCTAACGCTTTCTCGTTCATTCGAATTAGCGGAAATCGAATTAATCTCGATTATTTCTCACTCTTTGAATTAATGTTTGTTTTGCCGTTGGAACCAGTTTTCTGGTGATAGGAGCTTAATTTGGATACTGTCTTTAATCCTGCTATTTCAAGTCTCTTTGATTTTAATCCTTTATTGTTTTGTCGATCCTGCTGCTTTATCAGGAATCTTGTGCCTTATCGTTAATCCAATTAGACAATTCTTCCAGCGACATGATAAGTTTCAATCATGATAAGTTCTTCCCATGATAAGTTTCAATCTTTAACAATTTGCCTTCATTATTGCTGTTTCAAGTCTCTTAAAATTTAATTCTTTATTGTCAATCATGAGCCCAATTTTACTCTTCTATCTTCAATAATTCGTCCTTATTTCCGCTATTTTGAGTCTCCTTGATCTTAATCTAGTGCTGTTTTATCCCCACCATAAGGGCAAACTACCAAATAACTATTTATAGCTCCCAATATTGTCATTTATAATTCCGATTTCTCCTTCTTTTTCGACTCGAACTTTTTTGTTTGGGAGTTGCCAGAGAGCTCGAAAACACGGTGGGAAGCGAGAGAGCCTTGGGAACTTCAGCGATCGCTTTTAGATACTGAGCAACAGCGTGGGCGGTTAAAAAAGAAAACGTCCCATCGAATAAATATTCCGAATGTAAATATTGCAAACCGGGGCGAGATAAGGAGTTTTAAAAATAGAACGCGGAGTATTTTACTATAAAAAATCTGCTCGGTTTGGGGAGTTATTCTTTTAGTTTTCTGCTTTGTATGTACAGGATTAACCCCGTTTTCTATAGAGGAAAAATCGTTATCGATGTTGGAGTTAGATCCAGAAGTAGAGAGGAATCCGCTTGAATTAAAGTAAGGTAGAATAGCTACCCCCTCGACGGTGATATAACCTTTTATGGGGGCGCCGGGAAAGCGATAAGTGGAACGCCCGAGGGTGGATTACATTCGATTTTTTTTCGGATGACACAAAAAATACGCTCATTACACACGATCAGCTAATATACTTTTGTGATTACTGAACGCTACAGGGTGTCGCAAATACACACGCACACGAAACGTTTGCTCATTAAACTCCTATAAATAATTCTCTTTTATTACACCAGCCGCATTGTACGACCAGTTCATTCAACTTTATTGTACAATACGCTCTTATCGATCAGATAAATAAAATGAGTTGTAAGTACACAACACGACATGTTTGTACTGCTTTTTGGTATACACGAACGTTTCCGCGATCGAACGTTGATTGTTTAATTTTTTCTCGCAAATTGCACACCGGCTGCAACGGCGTTTTCCTGATGCCGTTTTCCTGAAAATTCAGGTCGCCTTGACGTCACCGATTCGCTCCCGTGACGTCATCCTTCGGGCAAGGGATGAATAAGAGGAGATTCATTCTGATAGTGGATGACCCAGTTCAAGGGGGGTGTTACGGGAATTACGTGTTACCTCTCCGGTGGGTCATTTCCGGTGAATTATGTAGGTTTTCTGACGCTGTATATTGCATTTGTAGGAATGTAGAGAGCGGAATTAATTGGCACGGGAATTTTCGTTATTTTAATTTTTTTCCCCTAATTTTAAAACGTTATTTATATCGTACAATAATTCATTGTGTTCTTTATTAATATACTTAAAGTATAATGAAGTTAATTCATTCGTAATTGGTGATGCATGTTTTTCAATTAAATGCTTGTTTAAATTACTTTTTAATCACTATAATAATAATATATGGGTAAATGCAAATTTGTTTGAAATCTTGTTAATTCTGTGAGTTGAACAAAGAAAGATTATTATTAATATAACAATGGTTAGAGTGAGAAAGTTGTAATCTCTCGATAAGAGATCATTCTTTCTTTTTCCTTTATATGAGACTAATGGAAGTTTCCTTTTAATACAAATAAATAAATACAAATTTGTCTGCAATATGGTCAATTCTGTGAGTAGAACAAAGGAAATAATTAATAATATAATGTTTAGAGTGGGAAGGTTGCAATCTCACAATATCACTTTCTTTTTCTTTAACGATAGAAGTTGTCTTTGTTAGACCAATATACCATATTTGCACGTAACTGTATATTCTTATCACACATATGTGCGAAAAATTTAATTAATTCTTATATGCCTGAATGTATACAGTGTGTCCTAACAAATGTTTAGTTAATTTCGTTTAGATGATAACACACATTCGATGAAACCATTTAAATATTCATTTAATTAGAATTTGTTTGTGTTTTGTAATAATCCAAACAACGCTCGGTATTCACGACTGTAATACAATTAACGTGATTACATACAATTCTATTTGGTAATCCAATTAAATTTATCAATACGACAACAACTCGGATATATCTTTAGCGATGGAGGTTCAACGATTTCTGCGTTTGTTACAAAACGGTCCTACTTGGCCGGATCGGAAGAGAAAACATCGGTTTTCCACAGGCAAGGGCAAGGTCAAATGTTAAGCAAAATCATTAAATATCTCGACAAAGACACGTCAGTTTCGCGGAAATCGGCACACTCACCTGTCGACCAGTCGTTTTTAATCGCTGGTTATCACACGGTTCATGGATTCGAACGGAAACGGCCTTAAAAAAATAAAATATTCAACGGGGAATTTCGAAACGGCCACCAGCGATTTTCGCACTGGCACACACACACACACCTACAAATACAACTGTCACTGTCAAACGGGCTGTCAAAGTCAAACTTTTTGTTTGGCGTTAACGAGCATGCGCTGTCGAGTCGACGTAAATCATATTGTCGCGATGTTGCCAAGTTGATTTTGTACTTGTAACGAAAAACTAAGTTTAATGTATCCAAATTAGATAGTAAGAGTATTTCAAGTATTATTTTTTGAAATATTCAAATGGTTTTTTATGCTCCTTTTGCGGTAATTCAAGTCGCTATTTGCAACGTTGCGTATTTTTTTAATGAAGTAGCTCGCTCTGTCGGATAAATTCTTAACTTGTGACATCGTGAAAACTAGATTGCGTTGATTTCTGTTGATTTTAATAAAGTTTTCACCGATAGATGTCGCGACTATCGAAATTTCAACGAAAAAAATATTAAAATTGCGCATTTATTCAATACGGTATGCGGTAAATTACATACGTTAAATTCACCCCATCGCTATTTAAGATCTGTTTACTACAAGATGAATTCGAACAATTAATCAAGCCTTTTACCCTTTAAGCCTTCTAGCGAAAGCGAATTCCGAAATAAAATTAATTTGTTTACACAAGCTCCTGTCTTCGACAATTACGCAGATAACAATCTAGAGTGTTTTTTTTACATTGAAAAGGTTCCGACCCTGGCTGGAGGATTCGAGATTCGAGTCCTGGGGCGAGGCGAGTTCAAAACTCGTCTAATTACTAATATCTGTCGTTAATTCCTTGGCCCACATTCTGCTGTAGCTCGATATTTTTCTTAATTTGCATTTACGCTCTTTATTTGTATTTCTATCTGCGCTATTATCCTGAAATTTAATCCTGGCTCGGGCTAAAATCCTGATGACTTCACACTACATTTCTTGATACTGAATATTGCGAATTTTATTGCGAATAGTTATTAAAAAGGAATGAAACTTGTGATTCTTTTATAGGGAATACTGATATAGAAATATACCTAAAAATTTAACGCATTAAACTAATTAGCGAAAAGAGGCTCTACAGTCGAATTTATTAGCCTTTCCTTAGAGTGTAATTTTTCATAAAAACGAATTAACAGCGGCAATAAATTAACTAAAGGTTAGATTATGCGACGACGCCTTGAACTTTAGTGAGGTGCAGTTTGGTTAGGTACTTCAGTTATTTATTTAATTTACAAAAGGTATGCAGATAGCAAAGGCGGCCTTGCTGACGAAGACATTAAAATGTGATTTACATAATTGGTACGACCGATGACGATTGAAAATTTCTTTGTTATCCAGAGGATTTTAACCGAATCGTAGTACCAAATTATTGCGGAAACACGCATCAAAACTGCGCTCTAATTTCCAAGTAAACATCCCAAATTGCGCCTGTTTAATAGGTAAATAAGTACTCTATTTATTAGGAAATTATCGAGGAACTTATTGCCAAAGTACCGCCTAGGTTTATTCGGTTGAGCGTATGCGTTGTGGTGTGTGACTTGTAGCTATTCAGGCCACTGCAAGGCCGTCCTTGTGGATGTTTAGAGCAAGTAAAAGTACCGTAGATGAAGTAGGTTACTCGGTACTGTTTAGAAGCGGCGTTGCCGGTGCGACCGGCATTTCTCAAGTTCCGGAAATTTCGCGATAAAAGGGAAATTTCTACGCACAACTAGATGTAATTTGAAGTGGTATCTACTAGTTGGTACTCTGTAAATAATCGAGCGAAGTAAATTAACAAAAGGATTTTTTGTTTGAATGGAAATTGATCGGTTGAAAAGCGATCTTGTTTCCCATCTGGACAACGGCGATTATTTCGGATTAAATTATTGGATGAAGGGCCAAATGGAATAATTTAATGAAGGAAAAGGTCACGTTCACAGACCCTTTCGGATTACATTGTTGAGGTCAGTTTCCAGTTGGCATTAGAGTTGGAGAGAAATTGCTTTCACTAGTCGAATTTTAACAAGATATTTTTTGTTACTACATTTAAAAATTAAAATACGAGTGTATTTGGAATTTTAATAACTTATTAATTAAAAAGAAATGCAAAAAATGTTTTCGCCCAACGTGGGGCTCGAACCCACGACCCTGAGATTAAGAGTCTCATGCTCTACCGACTGAGCTAGCCGGGCTTGCTATACCAAGACTCACATATCGTATTTACATTACCACAAAACTATTTTTAATTCTGTAATCTCGGGCATTACGAAATTGCTCCAATACAATAAAATAATCCCATCGCAACGGAAAAAAATCGCCAAAACCGATGAAACTACTTTAAAAGCGTTTTGTCGATTCGCGATGTTATTCATTACGTGCGACTTTCACTGGTTTGAATAATGCAGTCGATACGCTGAAAAGCGAGATAGATGGGATAGATTTCCTCATTGCTTTTTCGCACAAACGAGGTTAATGGCAGAAAATTATACAGAGTGTTCGCCGGGTACACGCACATTATCATTGTACGGAGATAATCGATCTTACGAAGATGTTCAACGATTTAGATGGTGAATTATCGATGTATCACGAATAATTTCGAATTTTATTTTAGTATAATGTGACTCTCTTGCGCTCAAGAAGGGGGCTGTGTCCCCCTTTAAACCCCTTTTTAGTAACAGGTTAAATCTTGCGATCTCGGGAATATTTGCAATTTATTTTTTTACAGAAAATTTCCTTTCTCCTATAACTTCGCTAAAAAATTTGGTATGAAGGTGCGATTTGCGGGAAGTAATTAGTAATAAATGAGAGAATATTTTAGGAAAAAAATTGTAGGCGTATTTTCCGAGAAAATTCCGAAAAACCAAACAACGGAAGACAGCTTTATGTATAGAATAGCATTTTTTCGGATTTTATTTTCGTCAAATAAAGCTGTAAAAAACACGCCCAATCACTCAGTCAATGAATGAATGTCTCCTACAGCCATAGTGATGCTATATTTACTGATATACATATTTTTAAATCCTGCGATTAGGAAATGATGCTCTTTTTTTAGCATTTATTTGCGAATTTTACGATAATTGAGGAATCTTACTAAGTTAAAAATAATTATTTCCTAGCGCTTATCCAGTTCATTATTTTTTTAAGTTTTTTTATTCGCTTTGCGAGTAGAAACAAATTAGGGAAAGTGATGGGATAATAAAACAAAAATGTTCATAAACGTTTGTAGATATTTTATTAATTTTTATTTGGTTTTATAACATTTTTTTGAGATCTTATATACTTTAAATGGGCCTATGAACGATAAAAATATACGGATCAAGCCCTTAATAACATATAGTATTCATTCAAAATAGACATTTTTTTAAATCTTTATTTATAATATAGTATATAACTTAAAAAAGCGCAGAATCCTACGATGATAGACTCACAAAAAATTATTATATTATATTTGCGGATTTTTTATACAGGAACGATCGAACCTATAAAATCATCACCACTATGCGATGAAATAATTTACAAGATTTCCTTGCTTTCGAATTTTCTACAAGAGTTTCACGTACAATTTTACACCATGTTAATTAGATTAACAATACTATACACAGCTTTCCTCGTATAATAATGAAACTCCAGTAAATGATTTTTTTTAGCAAGGGTTTTACTATTCGACCGTTCCTCGTATATCATCCGCTCTCGTTCGCTAATAAGTACTTAAAGGTTTAAAATTTGTGGAGGTCACCGTTAACAGTCTATAATTATTTATGAGAGAATCGAGCGGTTTTTTTAACGAACATTGTCTATAATATTGTTCGAAAGTTATGTACCAAATGACGCTTTTTCAAAAAAAATATAGTTGTTCGGTACGCAATGCGATATAAGGGGAAAATTGCATCGAAACCGCTCGATTCGAGTATTTAATTTTATTCTAAAAATACACTTTCAAGATTTTTGTTTATTAACCCTACGATTACTTTTTTAAATTTAACGACAATATTCTTCACAAAATATTTATATAATTAGAATTACGGTAAACTCTTCATCTTCCCGGCTCATTCGCTATAATTTACACGGTTTCAAGGGAGGATTACAATTGGAAAATTCCCTCCTCCGCTTTCGGGAAAGGCTGAAGAGCTCGATATATTCATTTATGTATAATATTGGGCGTTTCTAAAGCACGCTTAGAAACATGTGGAATTTTTTTCTGCATTTTGTCGATATTAATACTTATTGCGACCGCCATTCTGCAATCCGAAGGTTTTATCGTGTTATAATAGAAACTAATGATCTGTATAGATTACTGATTAACATCTTATAAATTTTCCCAAATTTTTTTGATATGTAAAAATTTAGTACTGAAGCAACATTACATCTAACCCTATCATACGAAAAACAAATTATAAAATAAGTATGTTATCAAGATGATATATTTTTATAATCCTTTCGTACGATTAATAAATGATTTTCATAACACCTTCAGATGGCAATTGCTCAGCGAAATCGCCGCTTGTATCTACTTATACACAACCCAAAATAACGTATTTTTTTTGTATTTTTTTGTCACAGCCACTGCCATACGACTCCGAAACGAATACCTCACGTTCGAATCGATTCTAGACGCCCGATCGATGCGAAAACCGATTACAAATTAACCGATTAATTAATTAGTACGATGATAATATATCTCTTGACCAAGAAAAAGGCGAAAAATATGGATCAGATTCAGTCTTTTAAAAAATATTTTCCTAATAAGAGATATTTACTATCGAATACTGTACGAATGTAATTAATTCCTTTGCTTTGATAATGTAATTATACTTGATTTATCGGATAATCGGTATCGAAACGGTCTGAAATCTCTTGCCCAATGCCTATAGTCTTTCCAAAGTCAATTGCTTCACTTAATAGTACGTATTTTGTTGTAGGTATATGTTCAATTGACTCTGGAAACACTATAAGCGAATGAATCACACATTCAATATTTAAACTTATGCAACAACAGAGATAAGAGATTATTTAAACGCCGGTAGAAATAAAATTTGTAATCGGAGATCGTTTGTTTATTGAATCAAAGAAAATTCAAATTTCTGTGCAGACTGCGCTGTTGGGAAATTATTGATAAAATGTAAAATGAAGTATATCGTTTCGGACGAACAAACCCACACGAGAAAAAAATGTCTTCCGCTTACCTTTCGTCGTTAAATCACAGAAAACTTAAAGAAATTAATCTAGTAAGATGGATCGAAGTGTGCCATATGGTGTTTTTTTTTCTAGGAATTTCATTATAATCAATGGGTAATTTTCATGGTTATAAAAGAGAAATATTTTTGTTGACGCGTTGGCACTTTTTTTCATGAACTTAACATTTTTTTCGTATTTTTCTTTTGTTATTGTAAAACTCAATATGAGTCAAACTAAATAGAATAAAGTAGGTAACTATATCATAAATTTAACTCCCAAATAATTTACTCAAAAATAACCATTTTTTTAACGATATTATAGTATGTACAAATTTATTATACTATTTTTGTAAACACCAGACAGTTAAGAGTTCGTTTTGTTATCGATGAATGTTCTCACTATATCACAAAAATCTTTAACTAATTTCCTTTTTATATACTTTTTCATATATTGGATATATTTTTATAATAAACGTCTGGTATTTTATATTTTTTTACGTAAAATAGAACTTACAACAAATACTACTTATAGAGCACTCCACACGCAGAATTCGCGTTATTTTGAATTTTTTATTAAATACCAATTCAAAATTCACAACTTTAGCTATCAAGTTAATTTTTAACCTTTAGTCATTTTGAATTATTATTTTTAGAGTTTTCGAATAAACTGTTAATCTATTATAGAATTACAGGAGAATTGTATTAGCTTTTTTAAAGATCAAAATTCTCCGTATTTATTTAGAATAAAATACAAAAAAAAACAAAATAAGCGAATTAACCCCGTATTCCAAAGAGAAAACGCGCTTTAATCTCTTCAAACAATCTTCATTTGGAATGGTCAAATCGTTTTTTTAGTACATTTCGTATCCCACTGGTACTGGTAATAGAGTAAAGTAAACTATACAAGCCTTATAAACTCGGCCCGTATCGTAAAATGCTTTAAAAAAAAAGATAACTGCATAAAACTGTCTTACTATTCACCAAGCTCGAAGTCCACGTTCCCCATCACTACGAGGGTCGTCCAAAATGAAATTAAAAAAGAAAAACAAAAAGAAAGAAAAGAAAAAAAAAAACGAAAAACATATCATCTTTTTTAACCCGTATCAGTAGCGCATCACGAACAGCACTGTTGCATCCACGCGCCGTTGCACGTGCAATAGCAATTGGTCTGGATGATGGGGGCGTAGACGATGCCGTTGGCGTACATCAGGGGCGGCGGTTGCTGGGTCATCATGCGCTGCTGGTCCTGGTAGAGCACCTGCCAGGCGAGGCTCCTGATCAGCTGGAGCGTCTGGCGCCGCTCGTGCCCCATCAGGCACACCGTCGACTCCTCGACGACGTCGTGCAACAGCATCAGGTACTGGTGGCGCAGCGCCTCCTCGTCCGGCTCGACGAAGTGGTTCCACAGGTAGTTCTCCAGCTTCGCCTTTTGCTGGGCGATGTCCGGGAAGTCGATGAAGAAGCGCGAGCACATGTACCTGGAATTCAGATTTTTTTTTTTCACCTGGTGGATTCTGCGATGGGGTTGTGATGGAATTTGTTTGGAAAATGGAGTGTGATATTTTTGCCTTATACAGGGTGGCCCAGAACTCACGCCCCACCGGGAAATCCCTTGTGGAAACGACAATGGAGATGCCAAAACTGCAGTCGAAAACATGAGATCCAAATCGATCATTCAGGAGCTTCGTCGTGCTGATATCAAACCTACAGAATTTTTTTTCGCTTCAAAAGTGGTTCGAATCGAATGATCCATTTTTTGATCGATTTTAAAGCAAATCTTTGATCAATAATTACAGCTGATTTTGGCAACTTTTTTTAACCTTGAAAGTGAAAAGAACATAGAATCTTTCAATAATGTCAAATTGGTGTATAGCTAATTCACGTCATTTTCGTGGATTTGAATTCCTACTGGGATTGGTCGATTTCGAACCTCTTTATTTACCAAAAGAAAGACTTTTTTTAATGTTTTCGACTGCAATTTTAGCATCTCCATTGTCGTTTCCATGAGGCATTTCCCGGTGGGGCGTGAGTTCTGGGCCACCCTGTAAATTCATTGATTGTTCTCCAGGTTAATTCCGAACCGAAAATTAGAAAATTAATCGATTAGTTTCCTATTTTTTTTATCGGGACGAGGACGTTCGTGTTTTCTATTAGACCAGCCTATGATTAATTTAGTTTTCGTTCGAAAATTCCGTACAAACCATGTTTGCATTATTAACAGCCGGTTATTTTTCCGTATGTTGCGCAACCACTCCGACCCCAAGAGGTCAGATTAACGAGCTCCTATCGATACAAAATTATTCAAAAACGAATATAGGGAACACCTTGATATCGATGATCGAACTAAAAATTACCGGTTCGTTTTACAAATAATTATTTTCTTCTTAATTAGGTTAATCGCTGTCATTTGTCAATCATTCGAAGCACCTTATTTGTACAACTCAACATCTTCAAAAACACTGATTTGCATATTATTTGTAATAAAACATTTTTGATATACGAGCGTAAATAGGTACATGTAAATATTTAAAAAGGTCTGTCGCATAATTACAATTAAATATTCAAAACTTTCCGTACAGAAACTGAATGATGGAATAACATCTAATTTTCCACAACCTGTTATTTTCGTCGAATAAATTATTGAGGATCTCAAGGATGTCGGAAAATTAATGGACGCGGTATTTCCCGGGTCTTGTCGATAAGAAAATGCAATCCAATACGGAAATTGGTCTAATTGTATGTCATTTCGATAAATTCTTCCTGTGTACGAGACTCTATAATTTCGTGGGGATTATATTCCGATCGATACGGTCCTGTCGTTCGATTTCCATCGACGTCGATATCTCGATTAAAAAATTACCAGAATTCAATTAAACGCGCACACACGCAGGCCGCTTTTATAAATCGAATATCGAATGAGAAAGCGCGAGCGCGACGGATTTTTCACGGCTTTTGTTCAATTTCGCGTTCGCCATATACACAGGTATTACCCGTACATACATACATACAGTAGACCAAAAAAGTATTCGTACAGTTGCATTATGTTCTGGAAGTCCGCGTTCAGTAAACAGAAACAAGAAGTAACTAGCAAATTAAAATCTACATTTCGAGACTATTCTTGCAATCATTAATTAACATTGTTATTAAAAATGTAAAATAAAAAAAAACGAAAAATGTTTGCATTATCCCCAAAATAAGTATTCGTACAGCAACGTTTTATCAATTTCTTCACTCTGTAGATATTAAATTGTTTATTGTTTTCGCCGGTATATTAGTATTAGGTTGAGCTCCTAGTTCTGTTTTCAAAATAATTCAAGTTTACCTTAAAATGCCTAGAAAAACTGAAGAAATAGATGGTGACTTAAAAAAGTCATCATCCATCATTTTATAGAAGGAAAATAATATAAGGAGATAGGTAAAATTGTTCAAAAAACACATATTACAGTTCAGTACATTGTGAAAAAATATAAATCTACTGGTTCCGTGGAAAATAAGTCAAGATCGGGAGGTACTGCCAAGTTAACTCAACGAGATCAGAATTTCATTTATCAAAAAGTTAAAAAAATTCCCTTTGTAAGTGCTCCATACATCGTTTCTGAACTGGAATCCAGTACATGGCATAAGATCCATCCGGAAACTCTTCGATACCACATTAAGCGATTAGAATATAGAGGAAGAAGACCTGCTAAAAGCCAAGGATAAATAAGAAAAATCGAAAGCTAAGAGTGGAGTTTGCTAAGCGTTACATTAATAAACGTTTAGAGTTCTGGAACCAGGTTATATTGTCAGATGAGAGTAAGTATAACATTTTTGGATCGAATGGAGCCAAATCTGCCTGTTAATTGTTTTTTCATTTGTATATTTATTAAACGGGTAATTACACGTATAATGATTATAATACGAGTGTACGAATACTTTTTTGGTATACTGTACAAACGCTCAGCGCGGTTAATTTATTTTCGTTGCGCAAAATCGCCAATCCGTTGAAATTATATGCGCTATTGCGACACCTTTGTTATGTTCGATTTTAATTCAAATGATGAAATATCGAGTAATTGAATGATTTTTTCAGCAACGATCGCTTTGTCAAAAAAAACCGAATCGATTATACAAACTTTAAGGGGTGATTCTGCATGAAAAAAAAATCATATTTTGCTATATAAATATATGTCCGCAAATAATGCTTCGTTTTAGAGATGCGTGGGGTGTTAAAAAGTTTCCTCTTAAAAACCGAAGATTTATTTATTTCTCTGAAACCGGACGAGATATTCAAATGAAATTTGGTGGGTTTTGAGAGGTAACTATTATGCATTTTTTGAAACAAAATTAAAAATTTTATGTTCATCATTGACGCGCATATGGGTAATAATAATTTTTTTTAAGAAAAAAATATTGGTACGCCACTGAGGCATTTTTATTGAAAATTTAAATATGAATGAATTCCTCGTTCAATTTGTGACAAAAAAACTCTCTTGTGTTTTTTTCGTACGAGCCGCTGTTTTCGAGTAAAAAAATAAAACATCTTGTCATGTATTTTTCATCTCCTCAATACAAGTTATCTAGTAGTAAAGAAACTTATTAACACCCCGTAAGCATTAATGTAGCAAAATATCATTATTTTTTCATGCAGAATCACCCCCTGAAGTTTGTCGCACTTATTAATTAACACCCTGTAGATACATAAAACAGAACTCACCTTTGTAGTCTCTTGATGTAATCGGGCCTGGCGGGTTTGTAATTCTTGACCAGCAAATTGCAGTACTTCAAGAGTCCGCCGCCGCGGATCTCCTCCGGGTACCTGGTGGAGATGAGCTTCTTCTGCAGGTGGTAGAGCGCCTCCTGGAAGTCGCCGTAGACCGACTCGCCGACCACCGTCGGATAGAAGTTGTCGCTGATGGGCAGCTCGCTGCACTTGTAGAACAACAGCAGCGAGTCGAGGATGATCTGGAAGGAGTCCACGGAGAACTCGAACTGGCGTCGCATGCAATCGACGAACTTCAGCTCGACTCCGCGGCCGCGCGAGTTGCCGAGCGATATCAACGACCATCGGTCGCCGCCCGTGTTCTGGTTCACCTTCACCATTTTGCTCACGTAGGCCTCCTTCAGGCTGCACGTGGAGATCCTCTTTCTGTTCACGCCGTCCGGCAACATCTGAGGAATCCCTCCAAATATTATCTTGCACCGAAAAAACTCGGCGAATCGCTTACCTCGTACAGAGAACTGAGCACGGCCGATTTCACTCTGTCGAAGTTTCGCATGCTGGACAATTCCACGCCGAAGATGAGGTCCAGGTCGTTGTAGGGCTGGTTCTCGGTGGCCAGGACGTGGGAAGCGGCGCCACCGTTCAATCTGATGTCCTTCACCTTCATACCCGCTCCCCCCGACGTGGTGTCCGCCTCCAGTTTCTCCCTCACCACGTTTACTAAGTCTTTCAGGCGGATTTCCAACGTTGGGAAATTACCTGCACGCAACAAAACGGTACTGTAGTGGCCAACGAATATAAAGAAATTGATCTAAAGCTAAACAATTAATCTACAAGGAATATACCTAGAAATTGGGTATACTCGAAGCTGGGTAATAATCAAAATTGGCCAGTAACTGAAGCTGGGTAATGACCAAAATTGAACAGTAACTGAAGCTGGGTAAACAACATCACCAATTATGTCCTGACCTAAACTGAAGCTGAGTATTTAATTACCTCTTCCGTGTATGGAGACGACCTCGTCCATGACCTCGTTGAGCCTGTTGACCTGTTCGAAGCTGAGCACGGCCAATCGTTGCTGGGCCTCGAGATCGTCTTGTTGAGTGTTGACGCTTGTGTTGATGTAATCGGTGATGGCGAGATCCTTCATGCCTCCTCCGAGTTCCTCGTCGTCGGAATCATCTTCGATGCCGCACTGAAACGAACAGAGGATGTGCGTTAATCTTCCGCGTATATCTAACAGTTTATGGCCTTTTACTCATCGGCTAATTGAGGATTATTTTGGGTTGGGATTAGAGCGAATAGAATTAATCGATTGAGGATGTGACGGATAATAGCTACAAGTAAATAAAACTGAGATATTTGTGGAATATAAATAATGCGATTTAGAAAATGTTACAATGTGGTTTGGTTCCATTAAGGCAGTTGTTAATTAACATATTGGCAGTTGCTAGACGTGTAATGCATAACTAAAGTATGTTATTTATGTAAACAGTATAATGCAGCATATGGAACGCTGTAATTGAACTTAATAGTATTATGAAATTCATTAATTCAATTTACGAACCTTATAATTACAAATGTCCATAATGGAGCCAATATTTTCACTTTTTTTAGTTTAAATGAATTTCTGTTTTATACAGAAATTTTAGGCGGCGCCTGACGTCGCGACGCCGACGCTTCATTAATGGGAATACGTCCGTTGCATTGTGTAATATTATTATTATACGAATTTTAAGTATGTTTATTGTGCCTACCGTTTTTCGATAAGATAATCGTAATGACGTCAACAGGTACTTTTTTATCATTAATATATTTTTTCGATTAGTGTAAGAGAATTTTTAGAGTGTTGGTATTTTGTTCGTAATGAATGTACGGGGCGTTGTACGAATTATTATTCTTAATAACAATTTCTTATTTAAATATAATGTTATTATCGATGGAGTTTAAAGAAGAAAAGTTTATCTTATTTGACAACTTTCTATTTTCAATTTTTTATCTGGATTATGTTATTAAAATTTAACACAACAAACGAAAGATAGTTAATTTCGTAAGAATTTTACACATTTCAGAAATTCTATTTATCACTTTTATTCGATCTTATTTGAACGGTAAGTTAATTGTGTACACTCGAGCGAATTTTATCGTGTTTAGAACGAAAATAGAAAAACAAAACTTATTGTGTGCATTTTAATAACGTTTAGAGAGAGATTATCTGAAAGGTAAGGTAATTTAAATGCCCGAGCAATTGTTAGTATAGTTTTTTAAGGATTATTATCATATAAAAGCACGATTTACAAAAAATATTTTATGTAATTTACCTACATTAAATTTTTGATAAAAAATTGGGAATTTGGGAATTTTTACTTCCTGTATACGCCTAAAAAAATATGGATACTTAATGTCGAATAGTATGAAATAATAATTGTAATAGGTAGTTAAATACACTATAATTGTCTAGCGCGTTTATTAATTGATGATTTTTTAATGAGAAACAAAACAAATCGATGTTGATTAATATTTAATATGAAAATAAGGGTCTATTACTTTCGATTAAAAATTTAGCTATGTAAAGACTATTGCACTATCATTTATTATTTAAAAGTACTCCCGCAAAATCGATATTTTTGCCCTTGAAAAAGAGAATATACTTTTTATAAGCAAAAAAATATATACGACAATAATTAAACCGAAACGTCCACATGAAATATTTATTAAACTCACACCTCTCGAGTAATAGCTATCATAAATTCACCACAAATTATTTCATTCATCATTAACCATTCACCGTCCTAATCTCCATATAATGTACAGCACGTTTAACCGCCCAATACCGCTCTACTAATGAATAAATTTTTACCAAATCATTCCAAAATTCGTCGTAACTGTCCTCGAAATCGTCACAAACGCTCGCCGAACTGCTACCGCAACTCATCGTTTATACCTCAAAAATATCCCAATTCACCACCAAACACTACATACCACCAATAATTCCCGAAATGTTACACCCGGAATGACAAAAAAAAATAACGCACACCTGTAGCGGCGTCGCTTGCGTTCGAACCGCGAAACCCGCAGAGAAAAGCGCCTGGAAAACCCGTCGGCGTCGCGACGCCCGTATCGCAACCGTCTCGTTCCCGCTCCGGAGGGTATATGTGACGGCGCTTCCCTCTCTTCGCGCCGTAGTGGCGTTGGCGCCGTCTACCCGAGTGACGTCACGGCGTCGCGTGGGCGTCGTGAATGAACCCGCCATAAAACGGCGCGTGGGCGATCCGCACACACTACGCGCCAGCCGAAAACCGCCCAATTATTCCTTTAACCAGCACCCTTAATCGTATAGTGCAGATCGCCTAAACCATACGCCGGTCGAAGTACCCTCGCGAATTTGTTATTAACTAAAAAATTTGGAGTGGTTGTACGTGGGGAAATTTCGTTCGGGGCCGGATTGGAGGCGGCTGGGGCCGCATACCGGCGCGCGTCGGGACGCTCTGCGGAGAACAGAGGCCGCCTACGCGTCGTAGAAGAGGTACACGTCCCGGCAGCAGGATGTGTAACGCGCTACGATCATCGATCCGAAGATGCATTCGTTTCGGCCGTGCGAAGGTGGTGGAAATTCGGTCGAGCGAACGGGGGGCGGGAGGGGGCGCGCGCGCGGGGGGCGGCGACGGGCCGCTCGTCCTTTCGGGTCTTGTAATGACGTGCCGGAAGGCTCGCAATTAACCCGCCGTAATTCTGGTTCGGTTCATGCTTAAATTTAGGCTTTAATTCTCCTGTCTGGACTGGTGAAATGGTCTGGATTTGTGTGAAAATGTGTGCGAATTTTTAAATGTTCCAACATAGTCCCACAAATGGAACAGTATAATCCATCAAATAGGCCAACATGGTCCAATATCTTCCATCAGATGGTTCAACATGGTCCATCAAATAGTCCAGCATGGTCTAACAAGGTCCAATATGGTCCATCAAATGATTCAACAGGGTTCGACAAGGTCCAATGTGGTCCATCAGTTGGTTCAACATGGTCCATCAAATAGTCCAGCATGGTCTAACAAGGTCCATCAGATAATTCAACAGGGCTCGCCAGGGTCCAATGTGGTCCATCAGTTGGTTCAACATGGTCCATCAAATAGTCCAACATGGTCCATCTAAGTGTGTGAATTGTCGCATTTCATACATAACTTTGAAGGACCGAAAAGGCCAAGTTCCTGCCAATTTCATTGGAATCCGTTTACCTCTGATTGAACTCGTTAATCAGAAGACGCCCAGCGATATTACATTTGAACCGATCGACGCTCCTACATTGATACAAAAGCAGGCGTAACGAACGCAGATAAACCGAATCGGACTCGTGCATGTAAGGATAAACAGCCTTATCCGTCTCGAATCATCGAACAGGCCTTCGATAGATTTTCGATTCTTCGATTGATCAATTTGATTAACAGCAATCGGTTAGTAGGTAAACATCAGAAGTATATCCGTTGGTTATACGATGATGATGAGTTTCGATATAGCTCGTTGGGAATCCTGCGAGGTACTTGGATAATCCGGTACGCTCTAGTTCGAATAACCTACGGATTCCTTAGCGCTATTGCTGAAAACCGACGGGGTTGCGCAACAAGAAATGAGCAAATCCGACGTTTTAACGGACGCTTTCTAATATAAATCGCCGGTTGGGATTTTGTATATACTCAACCATCGGCGCTCGATTCTCGATTATGAAATTTACATAACACCATCGGAAAAATTCCCCTCAACGACCGGCCGATTCGTTAACGAAATTTGGATTCGTCGAAAGTTTTCGACGATGGAAAGAAAAGTCGGGCGGAAAATCCGTTCGAGGAAAGTTTCGGGGAACTTTTGCGGTGTTTCGTTTGAAACCGAGAATTTCGATAAAGCACTACGGGAATTATTAGAGCCGACGTTAAAAGAATGGAGGATAAGGCGGAGAAAAAGAGAATATGCCAGAAGTAAGTAAGTTTCCGCGGAAGGAAAATCGATTTCAATTTGTCGCTTTTGTGGAAAGAGGTTTTTCTTTTTAATGACAACCTACACGTACATCGGTAATATTATTTTGCACTTCGGGAACGCGCTAAAGGGATTTCCCTGGTGCAGTAGAAATATTGAATAGATCAAAAGTTAAAAAATTAATTTGTTGAAGAAATGGAAGTTTTCCATAAAGCAGGGATTTTTTTATTAAAGGCTCTTTCTCTGTGATGTAGAATAATTCATCGAATTCCTTCAATTTCTTTTCGGATTAATCCGTAATTACCGGTCTAGTTCTGGTTTCCTCGAACGAGGTCGTAATATTTTCGTTTTTCTAGGTAACGAAAATTAATAAGTAGGTACATTAATAATTAATCCGAATTGCCCTAAAAACAATCCAATTAAGTGATAATAGTCCATAAAAACGTACTTAATCACTTTATTGGGGTATATCATATTTAGTATTTTAATTAAAATCCTATTTCGTTTATTAGCGGAATTGCTGAAAGTTTTATCGAGAATACCGGTAAAATAACAATTGCTTCTTACAAAGAATCTGAATACATACAGGGTGTCACATTGAAAAGGGCCCAGAGGTGTTTTTGTGTAGGCAAAAAGATTGCAATGTGACATATAGTATCTATAAATAAGGAATAATCCTATCAATTTTACTAGTTAGCAAATAACGAATTATTTATTCAAAATAATTCGATAGAAAAATCAACTGACCGCGTCTAATTTATGTAATACGAATCAATGACTCACTCGGTTTGGAATTAAATTAATAATTATTATAATAATTGTTTTGTGCGTTTCCAGCGAAGCGCCGTAAAAATGGTTCCCCGAACGATATAACAACAACTCGGCGTATTTTTTTTCTAATTTCATTCGGATTAACGAAGGTTTATTATTTATTGACGTAAGTACGGGCAATTTCGACGGGAAATTACCGAGAAAACCATTCGGTAATTTACTGAAAGCAAGAAGCCAATTCGGATAAACATTAGTTTGTACAGTAATGATAAAATAATAATTATTGTTGGTGAATTTTAATTTTCCGTCCTGTATTCGCTGTTGCGTATGTAATAAAATAACGTATTGAAAATGTCACGGTCGAAATGGGATTCATTGGAAAGGACGAAATCCTTTGCCAAATTCGACCGTGGTGAATATTCGTTCAATATTAATGCATTTTCTCGCCTTCCTAAATCGATTAAATAAAAAAAAACCGATGTAAAGATTAAACTCACTATAATTAATCACTTTTATTGCCGAATTAGTATTTCGAATAACATTTCAAGGATGTTCTTTATAGTAAAATAAGAAATTGTATCCTTTAGAAATTTTATACAATGCATATACGAGGGTATGCCGAAAACTATCGCAATTTTTCGATTGTGGCGTAGAAATAAATTCATTCATTTAATATCCATAGTTATATAAAAAAAAATTAAAATGGGGAAAAATATATTAAATATTTCCCAAAAGGAGCCTCAAAATATCTCGAGTGCACATCGACAGATACACTCAATGCGAATCCTAATAAGTATTTGCTTAGCTATTTTGTTGAATTCTAATTAAGTTCGGAAAAGTCGGAAAATTATTTCGGAACAGGATCGGAAAATCGATAGGTCATCACACTTTTCACCGTGTTCTCGAGTGAACAGGTGCAGATGTTTCGTGAAAACTGGCTCGTTTGTTAAACGAAACGCGTTTCCGCATAAACTCGCCCACGAGTTTTCCGAATACGGGAAATTTTCATCGTAATAAGTACACATACTTTAGGTGGATATATACAGGATGTAACAAAAATCATGGTCATAAATTATATCACGTATTCCGGGGTCAAATGTCGATTATACTTACCAAATTTTATGAAGATTTATTGAGTACTTTCGGAGTTAATGAAAAAAATTAATTTTTCGTTTGCACTTTTTGTTATACCCTGTATAACTGCGTGGTGAAAAAGATAAAAAATATTACAACAAGCGTAATAATTGCCTATAGGTACCTAGGTAATTATTTTGTAAGTAATTTCGAAAAAAACAATATTGGAAATAACAATAACATCTACAATTACGTAACGACATTATATTATAAAATTGCGAAATATTTCATTCATATTTTATTGTAAATATTTATAAGTTTTTAATGATAAGAATCCTTTTTAGTAGATAATTAGCCATCAGGTCGATACGAATGTATGTCATTATATGATAAAAGATGATCAATTTATCAACTAATTTACAACAATTTTGACACTAAACTAGATCAATAATATTTATTCAAACTACATATATGAAAAAATTAGTACAAAAAATATTTTGACACGATGGGAATTGTAAAATTGGCGCAGTCGAGTAGGATTTTGGACCGCTGCCAAACAGGAAGCAACTGGTAAAATAACCGGGAACAATCTGTTCGGACGCAACAAACGATTTTAAATTACTTATGATTTAGCTAAATGATTTATCAGAGTAAATAAATCATCGTGCTTAAGTTACCCGTTAAAATATTTATCTAACACAAACTGTCCCGTTCAAATATTTACCTACCGTTTGATTAGAATATTCTCCGAATCGCTTTATTAAACATGCATGAATTTTATTAATATATTTCGTAATGCTCAAAATTGATGCGGTAACTAGTTGTTAGAAAAAAAAATAAGTGCTCTTATCCAACAAAATTTAACGCGAAAAATTAAGTAAGTTGGATAATACATAATACGCGATAACTTTTTTTTTCTCTCGTTTAATTATCGAAATTTTAACGCGATTCCGCGGAATCGATTTCGTATTTTTTTTAATTTATTGTTTAACATCGTAAAATCACCATAAATCATTAATTATTATTCCTCGTCGAATTAGCGTAATCGAAATATTTTTCGCTCGCATTAATATCATGTATAGAAATGTAGATTGTCGTAGAATGAACGCAAAAGCATTAGAAACACGGCGATAAAAAATATCGTTTCGAGGACGAATTTTTTAGCCAATATCTCAAGTTCATTGCTAACTAAATATATAAAATATAAAACCTTTCCCAACGCTTCATAAATTTTCTAATAGTCATTATTTATTTACTAAATACATTATTAATGATAATTCGCGCGCGATCGAAAGGGAACATTTACAAATTGGAATTATTTACATTTACGGCTCGGCTAACGAGTAATTAAATCGACAACGCTTTCGATTAAACAAATCCATTTTATTTTGTCGCGTTGCGAATAAATTGCACAAAGATTAATTAAAATCGTATTGGATTTGAATGCGAAATGTAGGTCATAACGTCAATTAAATTTTGCATTCATGTGAACAGTCGGTTACGAAGTACATTCGATTCTAATCGCCTACAGAATTTATTTACTTGGAAAAAAATTCGGGATTTTTGTAGAAAAATTCCTTTTTTTGTGTAGAGATGTAATTCGGAACGTGTGACTTTATAACGTGTTATTTTGGAATGTTTTGTTGCCGAGGCATTTTTATTGCAGCGTAAATTTAGAATTGGATTAGAAACATTCGAAGTGAACGCTCCAAAATTAGA